CCCCCCCCCCCCCCCCCCCCCCCCCCCCCCCCCCCCCCCCCCCCCCCCCCGCCCATCTCTCGTTACTAATTGCTTGCAAAGTTGAACGCTTTTGTTTAGCCGTTCAGGGGATGGAAAGGGGGGGGATGGGTTACGCATTTTTTTTTCCTTTTTGTTTTTTTCTTTGTGCTATTTGAAAACAGGATTCATTGTGGATCGGGAACAAGAGAAAAAAAATTAGGCCAAACATTTTCATTTACTGTCAGTTAAATATAATATATGGATTTAAAATGATATTGGAATTTTAAATGACACTAGAATCTGTGTGTTGATTACTTCCATATAAATCAGCAAATCTAAGCGCCTACAGGGCATAATTCCACAGTGAAAGCGTCCAATTTAAGGAAGAAAAAAAGAAACACTCAAAGTTATCGAAATCAATATCCCATTTCCACCCATTGCTTCCTGAACCTGTATGCTTCCTATCCAGTTACTATATCGCCACGCCTGCTTCCCGAGGTATCTCATACCAATGAGCCAACACGACCAAAACAATCGTCGCCCTATAAAAATGCTTTCATGCGCCAAAATGAACCCTTCATGCAATTCCTGCTCCTTATGCTAAACCATTATAAACCAAAAGTCATGGGGAGCTGCCATATTCATGTATATCATAAGAGTGAAAAGAAAGAAAGAGAGAACATTTTTTTGAAAGCCAACAAAAAAGAACACAGAAAAACACAAAACAGAAATAGCACCACTTCCCTTAAAATCGTCTATAGTTATCACCCTCCTCTAGTTTCTTCAAAACACCAACAGCATCGGCAAGCAGAATGTTTCTTCCGCCGAGACAGTCCTTCTCGAGCGATGCGCGTGCGAGACTGACGGCGCCGGAGCCGACCTGTTTCTCTTGCTCGGACATTTGCTGGATACGACCAGGCTCCATGTCCGACATCTTCAAAATCCACTGGATGGCGGCCCTCCGCGTCGGCGCCTTGGCTTCGGTGCGGCTGATGCCGACGTGTCCGAACGCCCAGCAGATGAGAGCGCACACGTAAATGCCCCAGAAGTCAGAAATCTCCTTCTGCTGCGTGCGCTGGAACTGAGGCGGAATCGAGGCGCTTCCGTCCTTGTTAACCCACCTCTGCAGGCCGAGGAAGAGTTTGAGAGCCCGGGCAGCAAAGGCAGCCGCAACAACAGCGCTACCAGAGTCTCGCCACTTCTCCAACTGTCTCTGATGTTCCATGAAATCGGTGGCCTGCAGCACCTTCTTGTTGAAAACCCAACTGTCACCAGACACTGATAGCAATGTGTGCAATGGGGTATAATGGAGAGCGAGATGTGACATTGCAATTGGCGAGTATGGGAACAGATTCATGATCCTGAAATGGCTGATGCTCGATGCATCATCCAAGAGATTGATCTTTGTGAGGGATTGTCTCTGGGGAAGTTGCAACACGTGTGCGACCAGGAACAGCGAGGCGTCAAAGGCCGGGATTGAAGCAATATCCGCGGCAGAAATGGTCTCGAGAATCGTCGTCCCGACAGTCGCCGGCAGGGTAGGTGGGCTAACGTTGCTCCATTCTTGGTAGTTTTGCGCGTCCCATTGGAGCAGCGTGCCCATTGACAAGGGGATTGGGAGTGTCGCGGGGTCGGAATAGTCCAGGCCAAGTACCGCGACACGAGGCTGTTCAAGGAAGGACATTGCGTGGACGTCGAGTAAGAAGCAGGCAGACAAGAGCCGCCTCTTTGACTCCATATGAACCCAAATCCTCCATTGCTGAGAGGCGTCACAGGGCCCTAGGGTCGGCGGGAAAGTAGATTGAGCGTGAATGACCTGCATTTAAGGTGCGAATGAGTAAAAGGTTTATATGGTTTAGTCTCCCCTCTCCAAATACGGAAAAGCCATGAAACGTAAAGGTGAACCGTATGGAGAGATGTTTAAAAGAGCAAAAGAGAAGAAAAGAAAAGAAAAGAAAAGAAAAGGGGATAGAAGAAAAATAGGGGCACATCACAGTTATACACGTGAGAAAAGAAGAGCATGAGGAAAGAAAGAAAAAGAAAAGAAAAAGGCTGTTAAAAGAGGAATAGAATTCGTAACACATGAAAAACATGAAAGAGAGAAAAGAAGAGACAAGAAGAGACGTCCACACACAGAAGTCCAGTGGTATGTAAACGTAGAAACCAATGAAATCTAGCGGGAACTAACCATTTGATACAATGCCTCAAAGCGAGGCGACGGCTGATAAGCCTTCTTGTTCCTTCCCCGGAAACGAGCATAGTATTCGCACAAGAGCGTGGCCTGCATGATCGGCAGTGGCCATTCTGGGGTCGCAGAGTTGGTATACTAATAAACACACGTTAGCTGCTGCTCGCCGACTTGCTTTTCATCTTTCTCTCACAATCTTTGCCTTGTCCATAGCATAGGTGTGCAGCTGGTGCCCATTGGCGCGGTGCTCCTCGTGCTCAAGGAATTGAGTGGCAATGGCTGCCATGGCACACTGAAGAATCTCCAGATGCTCCTCAGGCATGTTTGTCGGGTTTTCAAATGTCGGCTTGTGGATGATGGGGTACATGGAGTGGACCTTGTCCCAGTAAACCTCGATGTAAGTCGGAATCATGCTTCGAATTCCATGGCTCAGAGCTGTCGGCATCAAAGTATACAGGCCAAGAGCATCTACAGGCTCACGGCTACAAGTGCGAGGATACATCATACGATCCGCAGGCAATGCAGCCGGCGCCGCGATCATAGTCTCCGCGGACTGACCTACCATCAGCTGTGGCGGAGACATGCTACGGACTGCAGTGTCAAGCATCTGATGTGGGCTGTAAAGGTTGGCGCTGTGCTCGTAGCCAGGAAATGGGGCTCCCAGGCTATCCCCGTATACTGAAGAATAGAGCTGTGGAGGGGTAGCTCCATAAGTGAACGAGATGGGATAGCCATTGTCAGTGATGACGGGGCTTGGGGATGTTGTATAAGACGGCATCTGTCCGCTCCACTCTGCGTTATGAGCCCGGGCTGATGATTGTTGGAACTTGGAGCTGTCAGATGCCGGCGTTGAGTAGGCACTCCCTGAGGCGGTCGACGGAATGCCCGAGCTATCTGTCCAGGGAATGTTTGGTGGCGTCGTTTCGGACATGCACAGGTCTGGAACCTGAGGGTTCAGCATACCCAGCCCGGTAGGACGTGATTCGTCGTAGGGGACCACCCGGGAGTTTGGGATCTGTACGGCAGTAATGGGGTCGACCACACTCATATCCGCCATCTGATACGCACTATGTGTGTCTCGCATGTGGGGTGATTGCATTGTGTTTCCTGGCGGTGTTGATTTGTTGACGGACGACCAGTGACCGGAGACGATTCCTACGCTTGGAGCCGGTGTGGCGGCAGCCCCAATGCTATAGGGAGAGATCGCTTGTCTCGTCGATGCTGGTGGCGAGCTACTATAAGGTCGAGATGGGCTGCTCCCGGAGCGTCGCCGTCGTGACGAGTCTCTGTTCAGTTTACCCTCGTGTTCGCCACTAACTTCTAATAAGCACTCCCCTTGGTATGTGTTGAGGATGAAGAGAAGGGCTTACTGTCTCTGTAGGTGTCGATCTAGCAGGTCTTTTCGATAAAAGACCTTCTTACAACCGGAGACCGTGCAAGATAATTCGGGTGGTTGATGGCTCAACTGATGCCGCCTGAGAGATGATAAAGTAAGCCAGATGTTCGGTGTGATGAGCAAGGGAGAAGAGGGGTAATGAATATCAACATACCTGAGATGCTCAGCTCTGGTAAAGGTCTTATAGGCGAGAGGAGAGAAAGGTCCATGTTAGTATATATCTAATATGATACAAGAGTAATGAGAAGATGAGATGTAGATACCTTTGCAGGCCGGCAGACGTCACAAGTATGAACTGGAACACCCTTCTTGGCCCGACTGACTCTTCCAGTAATGGGCGTCAGCTTGACAGGGTGATCCCCTGAACTGGTTCCTGACATGACGGGCCTCATTGCTGTTCCTGTGTAGTACGATGGATGGTTCTGGTTCTGTCCGTAGGAAGAGTCCATGGAATCAGTGCTAGTGTTGCTGCGTCGACGACCGCCGCCGGGGTGGCTGTTATATCCCAGGGGTGGCGCTGCAGGGTGGAGGATGTGAGGAGGTGATGTTTGCCTTGAGAGATCCACCGGGATATTATATCTGGGCATGGGGACGGAGAGATCTTGATCAAGGGACGTTCTCGAAGTCGGCCTCCGGTCTCTTCTTATGGAGTGCGAGTCGACGTGGTCGTCATCGACATTCATAATGTTCCTGAGGCTCCCCATTGTGGAATATAGCAGACCAAGAGAAAGATGAGACGCAGATAAATAGAGTTGAAGGAAGAAGGTGTCGGGGAGGTCGTGGAGCACAAAAAGTCTATCTTGGTATACACAGCCCGGAAGGCTGCGAGAAGAGTTGCTAGTGATGCGACGTGAAGTGACGTGAAGTGAAGTTGTCAAGATTATGGATTATAGGGCGGGAATCTCCAAAAGGCACGACAAGGGAGAGCAAGGGTATGTAGATGGTGTAGGAGAGAACGGAAAGGGTCGACTAGAGAGTCAACCAGCGTAGCAACCGAATGGGGTGGGAAGCAAAGTCGGCGACAACCTAGCCTCAGCCTCGCCGGGTCAAGGTAATGTCCCCAGTAGCGATGCGACCTCAGAATGCCGTTCAAGAGACAAATATAGGAAGAGAACAAGGCATTATCGTCGTGCTGCGGGAAAGATGGCAGTGGTGACGGCGGCGGCAAAAGAGAGAGCGCGCAGAGGGTAGTCTACATGTATGTTGATGTGGGAAGCGAGCGCGTGGGCAGCACGACCCCCCGGCGGCCAACACAGCCGAACTCCATCATCTGAAGCGGCCCTGGAAACATGATCCTAGTTCCATGACGAGCCGTGGGCTGGCAGCTGAGCTATGGGGTGCATGTAAAACCAGGTCAAACGGCATGGTCTGGGTTGTTGTCTCCCCGAAGCGGTGTCGAAGCCATCAGCTCTCCCGCGCCGTTCGTACTGGGTACGAGGCAGGACGACGCAACGGGGAATGGGCCAATCTCTCTGGCACACCCCCGACCCAACTCTTAGCAGTCCGAGGCTGACGGAACCATGTCGGGAGGAGGATACACGGTGGGGACGGCGCCGCGTGGTTGAGCCAGCCCTGCCCGCGGGAGCGAACGGGCCAGGACTGGGGTAGACACTAAAAAGCTCCGTCCAGATGAGCGCTGCGAGTCGACTGCTGGAGCAATACCCTTGATTGGGCACAGCCCAGAGAGGGTGGCGGCGAGTGGTGGAGGGGTAAGAAATATCCGCCTGTCATAAGCAGAGCCGTGATCAAATGGTGTTGCTGCCTCGCTCCATGACTACCAACGGCCGCGCCAATGTTGGGCACACAAGGATTCGCTCTATGCCAAACATATGCGAGTCGTACCCGTCGTAGAGCAGAAGAGCGAGCTTGGCCAAACCTGGCCGCAATGCGTGACTGGGGATATAATTAGAACCCCAGCTTCTTATCAGCATGCAGGCTAATGTGACGGCTTTGCTGATCTCCTCTTTGGGTTCCAAGATGCGCCAGGTGCCAGGCTGCCTGAACACGACTGTCCCGAATTTCCCACCCGGCTGTGCACACACATCATATCATGGAATGCGGAAAGGACTGTACGAGTACAAGCACACACGCGCAAAGCCCACAAAGGCAGTGCCTCGCTGCCGGCGGAAAAACGAACCAAGGCCCTAAAACAAGACCAACAAGGGGGCCCGCGAGGAGCGGCGCGGGTATGGCGTCAACGTCCCAGTCCGGCGGCTCCAGCAGGGTTCATAGATGGGAAATGAGCGTCTCCCGTCCCATACCGCGGACTGCCTTATGACTGCACCGTAGTACGAGTACATGATTCTTCTGCTTTTGCCCCCCTTCGCTGTTGAGGATCAACACCTGCATGAGCAGTTGTGAGACACGGCGTCCTGATGTGTGTGGGCTCATGAGAATTGTGCGCGCTTGGCGAGAAGTTACAGGGGCAGAGACGAAAACTGCTAGCGACGCTGGTAGTATGGAGTACTCGATTCCTTTGTACTCGTCAGTTATTACAGAGCGCAACGATGTACTTGGTCTGCTCTGCTGAAGCGAAATCCGACGGTGGTGGGGCTGGGCTTGATTTCTCGCCGGAAGACCAACAGCCACACAAAGATTCGTAGCCGATCCTGGAGCATCTGGTTGGCCGTGAGGGCATCGTGTGAGAGAGTCTGGGTCTTGAAGGAAGCAGCCATGGCTCACGAGAACAGAAGGCCTTTCTTTCTCTGTCCCTTTCTCGCCACCGGAGGAACATACCCGTAGACAGAGACCGCGGCAGCCTCCGGTCTTGTGGACGTGATGCAAAGGGCAGACATGCCGTGTGCCGCAGATTGACAGCAGCATGGCATCGCCCAACTAACTTGGAAGATCACCAGCCTGGCCGGGGTGCTGGGTACGCTTGTACGCAGAGGCTCGTTTTGGCGCATCGGCAGCTACATCTGGGGGGAACAAGGGTGGAAGAAGAAGGGTTTCCCCGTAACGTGTCCTTGAGCAGAAAAGCTTGGTGTTCCCAGCCCACCGGAGCCAGTGCTAAGAATCATTTTCTCCAATGGCCTGCCTGGGAGGATCTTAGCAGTGGTAGCAGTACCTTGCACACAGCATCCCGCTCTTCCATGCCTCCTTTCTAGAACGGATCCCGTCGCAACACTGACACCATGGCTTCAGAGGTGCCTCGACTTGCAGGCGATGATGTATGAGGTTCGTACATGATACATACATGCTAATGCGCGTGCGTTATGCAAGTGCCCTCATGGTTCCCGTATGCACGGAGTATCTCACATCCAATTGCTTTTTTTCTGTGCCAACGGGCGGACGGGCTGAGATTCCTCAGCAATGCATCGGCCACCTCCGCCCCTTTGGAACAGAGAGGCCGATGCCCGGCGCAACCTCTCAGCCAGCAAGCTCGAAAACTTGGGAAACCGGTGAAGCTGCGATATGTGCCTCTCCCTGCGTTGCCGGTGTTGCAACCAACGAATCAACGCCCGGCTGCGGTTCCAGCATGGGCACGAGCTCTACTAACGACGCAGTGGCGGCCACCCGGCTTGCAAACGAAGACTGAAGGATGGGCCCGAGCTGAAAAAGTTCCCCGTCTTTTGCGTCTCCATCTCGCGCAGAGCTGACGTCCTGGTGGGCCAGGGGTTTGTTTAACATGCGCACTCCATTCCCTTTAGTGCCGTCCCAAGGGAGACATGGTCGCCTCCGCGTCCACGAGGCACATGGCCCGCTCCGTGCAGCCCGAAGGCGCCCGCCCTCGTGCTCCGTAAGTGCAGGCTAGCTTCTCTTTTTGCGCTGGTGATGATGCTGCGCGGTCAGGACGAGTCGATTCCGATGGAGACAAAGCAGGAGGCGATTGCGACTAATGGTCTCGTCTCCTTGGTCACTTTCGAAATGGCTCTATTGCAGACCAATTCCCACCTCGTCCTTGTGGATCCAGCCGGTGAGGAAGAGAAATGAGCATCGCATGCTAGCCCGGTGATTCGGCTGTCGCCAGGAACGTCACGTCCAATCTGTCTCTGTTCCTGTCTCTCTGCCCAGTGCCTCGCCTGTGCCTCGCCTGTGTGCAGCCACGAATAGGGACCATGTTCGTCTGATGTCCCCCCTGTAGATCTTGCTTTGCTGAAATCTATCTGATCTCGATCATTTGAGAGCAAAAACCATCCTTCGTGGTAGGGAATCCGGGTTTTCCTTTGGTTTCCTTTCATTTTTCGCAGGTTGGAGATTTGAGATGAACTGCAAATAGTTGGTCGCTGAAGATTTGGGGGCTAGTGGGCGGTTTGGGGGCCAGATTAGCTAAAGTTGGGTTGGTGAGCTACCGCAGGCTTGGAAAGTGCTAGTGAGCTCCCCTTGCCCTCTTCCCGCAGCAGGGAATGGGAATGGGAACCCGACATGGAAGTACATGCAGCCAAAGTACCGAGTACGGGCGTCGGTTCACGTATTAGGGCGCATATACTCACATACAGCACCCGTAGCTGCAGTCAGCAACAGCAACCCGCCGTAAAGAGAAGAACCGAGTAGGTATTTGCATCATGTATTACTTTTCCACTGCCGTGCTGTTCCCATCAGTCCGTCCCAAAATGGACGTGGAGCTGCAATCTCTCACAGTCACTTCGCAGGGGCTTCGGCGAAGGATGTGGGATCAACACGCTTTGTTTCACTTTTTTTTTTTTTTGGGATGCACAGCAGGCTCTAGCACAGCACTGAAAAGCACCAACTGGGCAATAGCTCGTATCATTTCACCAGCCGGTAAAGTCTAAAGTGCTACACGCCATTCTGTCAACCTCGGTGTCTTAGACATCGAGCTTCGCCCAGGGCATGTCAAACAAGACAAGACAAGACAAGAATCCCTTGATTGTAGCAGCCGCAGCATTCAGCTCGCGTTGCTGCAGGTCTTGACGACATGTTGCCCGCCGGCGCTTATCTCACGGCCCAGCATCCAGAGAAGATGCTACCTATGAGGGTAATACCATTGATGGATGACCTGTAATCGCATTCGCTACGGGGCGCTGATTGGAGCCAGTGTGGCGAAGTAATCAGGACGATCGTCGATGTATGTAGATCCAGGTCAGCAAATGAGCATTTCACTGCGAAGCTCTTTTGCTGCTTGCGTACTGCTTGCGTATGTACTGCTAGCCTTCCTTTCTCCCTTTTTTTCTTCTTTTCTTTTGCATTTCTTCAAATAGAAATAGAAATAGAAACAGAGATAAATCAAGCTCACTAGATAGACTCGGCAATAGCACTTGAAGTGACTTGTCCGCGCCATGTTACTCTCCCATCTCGTCTGCTCTCATCTCGGCGCTTATACGCAGACGAACTAGTGACTAAGACGACCAACATGCTCTAGTCCAGATATTTTTAGAGACTCGCCCACCCATCATCACGCTACTGTACACACTATCTGTCCTCTCATGCAGCAACTTGCGAACCCGGTGGAATAATAACCGGAAACATCTTGCATAAGCTACTACTATACCTCAATACTATCAAGTAACCAGCCATCCGGAGCACAGCACCAAGGCGCGCTTGTCGCCGTCCAACACAGCCATGCCATGATCATCCACAAGTGTAACGCTTCATCTGCTTCTCATTCGTCGTATATGCGCCGCCCTTTGTCCTGCCCATCCGACGGGGCATCGCCATCAACAGCCGCCTCCGAGTGGCACGGCCAGGTTGCATGTTTGTTTAATGTTGCATCCCGTCTAAGACGCCTCCCCAGCTTCGTAGAAAATGTAGCCAGACTCAGCCCCGATCCCCAGGCACGCGAATCTGCCCACTACCCCTTTTGCCCTCGTGCCATGTTTCTCGCAATGTAACGCAGCCATCTCACGACATCGGCTATTAGCCGCCGTCAAAAAAATGAAAATTGACACCCTCTACGCTCGAGAGATAGCCGCGAGTGTAGAGAGATGTTCGCAACTCGGAATGGCCGGGATCTTTGATCGTGTAATAGAAGAGAAATGCACTTGTGCTCAGAAATCTAATATTAGTAACCGCCGGCAGATGTCGAATCGTCCAAACCCCCGTGCCGGAGAAAGGCATATTCGGGCAAGGGGGGGCTGTGACAAGGCCTCGCGGATAAGGCTGCATGACGGTAGTTGTGGTCGGGATGCCATGTATTACTCCCCATGTTCGGTGGTAAGGCTGATCCTCCTTGTTTGTTGGTCATCACACAAAGTGGTGGTAGCCTTGTCATGTGCATTGCAACCTTCCCCAAGAGTCGCTGCTTGTGTCTCTTCGTGTATGTGCGTGTCCCTCCATGACGAGAAGGATCCAAGATTTGGGACGCCTCAAGGCAACGGCTGCATATACGTCTGCATATACGAAGCTTTTGAAACAATGGCTTCTTGTGACACAATCAAACCTGCGTCATGTGTCAAACATCACAAAAGACAAGGCTGTTATGACATAACGCCTTCTAGAGCATGTAAGGAGGCACCGAGATTGGAGCAACGTAGTCATCATTTTCTTTTTGTAGCCCTAAAACAAAACCCAACACGCCAATGAGACACCACCAAAATCCCTCTATTGTCACAAATTAACAGTCATCCTTTTGTCGCGTATACACACTCCCTCATCGCAAGGCCTCTCGGTTGGAAGTCATACGGCCGCGCTCAATTCCTCTGATACTTGGAGCACTTCCTTGATGCTAAATCTACGCGCGGCTGGAGGTAGCCACTTCGTGGTTGTCCTCTGCCGGTGCCGGCCTTCCGTTGCTGTCACTCTCTTCAGAGTCGTCATCGCTGGCAGGATGGCTGTCTGTCACAGTCCTGCGGTTCTTGGTCATCTGAAGGTTGATCGGGTCAGCTCGGGGAAACGGAAGACGAGGTAGATGGGAGAGGTCAACGAACCCATGATCGCACACCACCAACCAGCCCAAGCGCATAGCCAGTGATGAACTCCTTCGAGTTCCCTGATCCTCCGGGCGTGGTGGGAGATCGCGCAATGTCGCTTGATGAGCTGTTGAACCGGGCCGGGCTCTGTGGCCGACTGGTAGGCCAGAACTGCTTTAGCTCTCGGCTGAGCTCCTGGCCGGTCGTGGTCCAGTTGTTGGTGATGTTCTCGCGGAGATCTTGCACGTGACGCTTGAGGTCTATTTCGTTCTTTTTAAGCCAGCTGACGTTGAGCTCCTGGCGAGAGGTGCCGCGCTTGAATTGCCTGGTGATGTACTTTTCGTAATCGCGGACGATCCTATGGGACGCAAGTCAGAGGCAGGGTTCAACGATGATGGGAATAATAGATGAATTACTCACCTTGTAATGATGCCAGTTGTGCTGACACCCTCGGTGCGCTGAGTGACGAGAAACTTGCCAGTCTCCTTGATGGGCTGGTAGATGTCGTCTCCCTCGTCCGCGCCATATGGGATATCGTCGTGTGCAACATAGTCGAGGCGATGCAGTTCGAGAAACTCTGGACTGACGATCCACGGGCAGTCTTCGATGACTTCGTCCACCCACTTACAGTGTCGCACCGACTCGGCGCGCTCCTTGGCAGACATGACGGTCAATCCCTTGCGCATGTGGGTATCATTGTCGCCGGTGACGCCCACGACGAGGGTTGTGTTGGGAAAGGCTTTCTTCGCCTGTTCAAGCTGGCGCATGTGTCTGTCGATGTGGTCAGCACGCGGGTTATTCGACATGCCTAGTTTCTCGTCGTATATAGACAGCACTCACCCGAGATGGAATAGGTCAAAGACTCCGTCGGCGTATACTCTCACATTGCGGCCAGTTGGCGGGGGGTTTGTCGTGTAGCCCACGGGGTGAGTGAGCTTGCCAATCGGGGGTGGAGGCATGGCCTTCTTCTTCTCTTCTTCGACATCTTTGGATGCACTCTTGCGTCCTTTCCGAGTGACTCTCTCGGCAATGTCGACGCTGGCTTCAGTGGTGTCACTGGGCTCACCAGGATCGAGGACATTGTCGCCATTCTCGACAACTCGGTCCGAATTGGCTCGCTGCCTCTTGTTAGGGTTCAAGCTGGTGCCATTGGAGGTCCGTCTAGTCTGTCGCGACGACTCTGGTGCGGTGGTGTCGCCTTCTTCGCCCGAGGCATCTCGCGACGAGGTCTGCAAAGCGCTGTCCGGCTCGGCAGCATTGATAGTGACTCTCTTGCGTTTGCCGCTGTGGGAGGATGCTGGTGATGACATCGTGACTAGAGGGGGGGGGGGGGGGGGAGAAAAAGCAAGTGCTAGGTCAGGCGCCGATGCAGCCCGACTGACGGCTCAAGTTTTGCGTTTCTGTCTCTCGTTTCTTGCGAATGCCCGAGAGCCGCTGCAGCTGGATCAGCTACCTGTCTTGGATGGACATGAACGATCAACGGGCTTGGAGAGCAGAGGACGCTGGCGCTGTGCTTTGCTTGGCTCGTGACGCTCGCGTGCGCAATGTGTGGAGAGGCGCTCCGGGGGTTGCTGAAGGTTTAGAAATTCGGCCGGGGAGCTTGTGATTTTACCCACCTTTGAGGTCGCCAACAAAAATCAAATCAAATCCAATTTCCCACAGCCTAGCAAGCTACCTGCACTCCAAAAAGACAGGTGGCGTGACCATGCTGAAAAGGGGCCATAAATTAATGCCTGAGTAGGTATACGCCGTATTCGGGTCAGAGTTAATTTCTCATATTTATGTGATTTTCTTTAAACCAACCCTGCCCAAGAGCAAAGCCCGATCAATGGCATAGGGAACTATCCCATGCTCTGGACTATGCTGTGCGGTCCTTTTTTTTTCTGCTTCTCCCGCTGTTCTGGGTCTGGAACAAAGACCCCAGTTCCCTAGCTCAGCTTGTTGGGGGAGACAGATACAGTCACAGTCACAGCTTCAGACTTCAAGATGCTCTATGATTGACATGTCCATGCCTGATTAGAGACGCCCAAAACTGATAAATTGCCCTGCTCACTCCCCCATCAATTCAGCACGAGGGGACCGATGACGCTCACACGGAAATCACGTGGGTCGCACAAAGATCTTGATTCTTCCTCTCCTCGTCCAGTCGCGTCAATGCTTGTCTCTTCTGCCCCAACACATGGCGTTCGTCATTTCGCCGTCTCCATCAGAAGTTGCTAGCTGAGCTGCTAGCTGTGCTCTAGCAATAAGGGGTAGCGGATCGCCTTGTAGCTCTTGGCCTATTCTTCGCTGAAAAGTACATCCATGCTGGAGCCCCTACTCTTCCCGGAGCTCCATTGATGTTCTAACAGGAGCGTCATAAGGCTGTGGCAATGGCGATCTGTTCACCGTTGGACCTTGGTGGAATCCAGGCATCGTTCTGGCAACTGGGTGAGGCGAGGCAGGCGTCAAAGAGAAGCCGGAAACCCCGAAGAATGGTTGAATGGGCAGCCCAATATGATTTATTTCTGCTGCGGTGCCAGCAGCGCTACGTCATCTACTTGTCTTGGAGTTGACTGCCGCAGATTAAGTAGACGTGTGCAAATCATCCAATTCAATTTGCAGCTGACTGCATGGCGGAAGAAACATTCCCCAGCAGCCCAGCAAACCGAGGGCTTGAAATGGCGCATGTGCCGCTGAGTAAGGCATCCAGCATGCATCGGTTGCGACCAGCATCTTGCAGCAAAGGGCATGCAGAGCTGGAGGCCTTCAGTGCTCAACTCCTCTGCGTAATATAGCACCTAATACTACCACTTCAATAATACAGTCCTACCTACCTGTGTATGGAATCTGATGATGCAAATGCTGCGGTGCTGACTGAATTGATAGAGGCAACACCACCTGCCTACCTGAGGCTCAAGCCAAGAAACTCCAAGGCAGCAAAGTAGGGCCAAAGCGGGACGTGTTGAGCTCAACGTTGCACATGTCATGGACTGCCCCGCCTTGCCCGCATCCCAAAGGAGTGGTTTTCTCTCTATCTGTCTCTCTCTCTTTTCCCTGGCTGCATTTACTCAAGGGGCGCTGGAAGGAATCCGGCTCCGCGCAAACGGTGCGGCCTGAGTGGCTGCAGCATTGAGTGAGAGATATATCGGGAGCGTGGTGAAACAGGGCGTTCTCGTGGCCATTTGGCGCTGCTTCGAATCGGTACATCATTGGCCACGTTGGAGTGCTAGCCATGCGCATTGCAGAGTCGTGTGAATGCATGGAGCAGCGCTACAAGGTTTCGTGTATGGAACAAGGTTGGTGCTAATGTACAAATAGACACGAGGGTTGACTTTAAGATTGAATGATGGATGCGTACTAGAGCATCAGAATTCTTTTCTTTCAAAGGGGTAGAAAGTTCTCTCTTCACGGCGGTTCAAGATGAGGTTTGGGTGTAAGCTATGCAAGCTGTGCTTTTTGATGCCACATGTCGTCAGAGCAGAATTAAAGTACGCAGCTCCGACAGTATCGTCCGATGTCGATAGACACTGTGGCGCACATACACAATGACGTAGATATGAAACCGGACCGCCCACGCCGCCGTCGTCCGAGGCCGTGAACTTGGTGAATATAAAATTACGATGCGGACCATCAACTCTATTGATTGGAAGGCCAGAGCTCAAGCTTCAGACATTGCCTTCACCGGGGTCGCATCCGTCTTGTGGAGTTAAGGTACCTAAGGTAGTCAGTCTACTGGATTAAGCCAGAGTAATGCTACTCGTACCGAGGCCCGGCCCTTGAGCCGCTTTAGGTACAAGTACCAGGTTGACAGCGATTATTTTGGCTTCCAGCATGCAGCGCTGCATGACCGTCTCGCTTCTTAATAAAGTGGAGGCTGGCCCCCGGAGCGGCATCGAATAATAAATAATAATAAGAATAAACGGAGACCTCGTCCATTAGAGCGTGAACCTGCACCTCAATCTCTTCGATCGCCTCGCTCCGGATCCAAGGGGAACAGACGATGCTGCCTTAGCACCCTTAAATTCACGCCAGGTCGCCTCAGCCGCAGCACAGTGCGCCGCCACTGTCACCATCCCCTCCATCCGTCTACAGCACTCGACAGCGCCATCCATAGCACAGCAGTGGAGAGCGCAGCAGCACAGCAGAGCATTGCAGAGCCCGTAGAGGACCATAGCGCTTGCTTGCTTGAGGTGGCCCTCCCTAACGATCGACACAGCAACTTGGAACGTGTGTAGCTCTGCCCGCCCGAGCTTGCGCAAGCTCCCTCTTTTGCAATGCGTATCCTCCCGAACCGTTTGCTTTCTTCATCTCCATCTCCAAGTGCGAATTCAAGAAGCGAGAGCCCAATGCGACCAAAGAACGACGGCACCGGCCCTGCGGGGGTTGCGGCAAACGGGCTGGCCCTGAGGGTGGTTATCATGCGGGTATGGACTGGACCAGTCTCGCACCTTTGACGAGATGGTTGTGTGCTAATACTGAGGCGAATAGGCAAGGAATCTGGCGGCCAAAGATCGTAGTGGAACTTCGGATCCGGTGAGTCGAGAGCAGCAGCAGCTTCATCACCATCATACACCATCGCATCGCAACCTGCATCACGAGCCCCCACTGAACACGCATCATCTTCACCACCGCCGCAACAACTTCTCCCCTGTACTATAACAGACACCGCAAACTCTAGTTCTGAGCCAGTTGCTTACAATCAAATCTTGTCCGTCTTCTAGTATCTTGTTGTCACCCTTGGCGACGCCCGAATCGTCACCCACTCCGTCCCCAAAACGCTCAACCCCGAATGGAACGTCATCGAGGAGCTGCCCATAAGCTCTGTACAAAGCCTGGTCGTAGGCGTCATATGCTGGGACAAGGATCGCTTTGGCAAGGATTATCTCGGAGAGTTCGACCTAGCGCTCGAAGAGATCTTCCAGAACGAAGTCGCCGAACAAGAGCCACGGTGGTATCCCCTGAAGAGCAAGCGCCCTGGCAAGAAAACCAGTGTCGTCTCCGGCGAAGTGCAGCTTCAATTCACCCTATTCGACACTACAGCCCCATTCCTCCCTCAGCAACAGCTGTTTGAAAAGTTCTACGCACTTGTTGGCACGGTTCCCGTCGGCTCGTCCCGAAATGTTACACCTACCGAAACTCCACTGCTCACCCCGAGTGCCGCGGCGCACTTGGGGGGCTCGTCGTCGGCAGACGGGCTTGGCGATGAAGACGATGAGGATGACCTTACGGAGCTCGAGGAAGATATTGCCGATGATGCCGAGGATCCCTCAAAACCAGAGACTGCCGAGAAGCGTCGGCGGCGACTTCGCATCAAGGGCCTCAAGAAGAAGAGGCGGCAGGATCCCTACGCCTTCACCAATAGCGACTCCGACGTTGTTGGCATCATCTACTTGGAGATTTCCAAGATCACAGACCTTCCACCTGAGTCGAACCTGACGCGGACTGGCTTCGATATGGACCCGTTTGTCGTGGCATCCCTAGGCAAGAAGACCTACCGCACCAAGCGAGTCCGGCACAACCTCAACCCGGTCTTCAATGAGAAGATGATCTTCCCGGTGCAGAATCACGAGAAGCAATACTCGTTTGCTTTTACCGTCATCGACCACGACAAGTATTCCGGCAACGACTTCATCGCTTCGTGCAACCTGCCTATTCAGACGCTCATAGAAAAGGCGCCCCAGGCAAACCCAGAGACGGGGTTGTATGAGGTTCGCTCTCCCGAACCGGAACCAATGCCGGCGCCGGTTGTCACAAAATCTCGTCTCCAGAAGCTCGGGGTTTCCCGCTCCTCGTCGACGCAGAGTCTAAGCAAGATGATGAAGGCGCAGGCCCCTAGGTCTACCCCTTCAAACGGCTCTTCTTCCCTTACAGCGCTTGGCGATGGAAGCGGCCCTCAGTCCAGCAGCACGTCCCTGGCACCTGCAGATGCCCTTGCCAACATCCCAGTCGAAGCTTCAGAGCAGGCCATGGAGGCGGATGACCCCGATCTCGCAGATTACGCTCTACCATTGAAGATGAAGAACCTGGATAAGTGGGAAAGCAAGCACAACCCCGTCATCTACATGAGAGCCAAGTATGTACCATACCCAGCCCTCCGCCAGCAGTTTTGGCGGGCGCTGTTGAAGCAGTATGATACAGACGAAAGCGGTCTGATCAGCAGGATCGAGCTGAGCACAATGCTGGATACTCTTGGCTCAACATTGAAGGACTCCACCATTGACAGCTTCTTCCAGCGCTTCCCTCACAAGGCTGCCGATAACGAGGACTCGTGGGAGCTGACCTTTGACGAAGCCGTGCTGTGCCTGGAGGATCAGCTGCAGGCCAAGAGTCGATCTGGAAGCAAGACTCCTATTTTGGATGTAAAGAGCCTCAGCCTCACCGGCAAATCATCGTCTGGAGATTCCACTGGCCAGCCAAGCTCCGACGGCTCAGGAAACTCGACACCCCAGATCATGGTCGAGCCGCCAGCAGAGGCGACCACGCCTATTCCCGAGATCAGCACGCCCAACGAAGAGGGAGAGGAGGGGTATTTTGATCAAGAATCCAAGGAAGAACACGTGGTGGAGATTCGCGAGTGCCCCATCTGCCATCAGCCGCGCCTGAACAAGCGCAGCGACGGCGATATCGTTACGCACATTGCGACGTGTGCAAGCCAGGACTGGCGCCAGGTCAACACAGTCCTCGTGAGCGGATTCGTGACGGCCAGCCAAGCGCAGAGAAAATGGTACTCCAAGGTCATCACCAAGATCTCGTATGGTGGATACAAGCTCGGCGCCAACTCGGCAAACATTCTCGTTCAGGATCGTCTCACGGGGCAGATTAACGAGGAGAAGATGAGCGTCTATGTGCGCTTGGGTATCCGACTCCTCTACAAGGGGCTGAAGTCGAAGGACATGGAGAACAAGCGAAGTAAGTGGTGCCGCCGTACATCATGAGAAAGCTCAACGGGATTTTGTATACTGACACGAAATAGTCCGGAGAATGCTGAAGAATTTGAGCATCAAGCAAGGCAAGAAATTTGACGACCCTGCTTCACGGGATGAAATCGAAAAGTTCATCGACTTCCATCGCCTGGACATGTCAGAAGTCTTGCTGCCGATTGAAGAGTTCAAAAACTTCAACGAGTTCTTCTACCGCGCGCTCAAGCCGGGGGCCAGGCCGTGCTCGGCGCCAGACAACCCTCGTATCATTGTTTCGCCGGCGGATTGCCGAAGTGTCGTCTTTAACCAGATCTCGCAGGCGACCAAGATCTGGGTCAAGGGTCGCGAGTTCAACATGAAGAGGCTCCTCGGAGATGCCTATCCAGACGACGTCTCGCGGTTCGAGAACGGCGCTCTGGGCATCTTCCGACTGGCCCCCCAGGACTATCACAGATTCCACATTCCCGTCGATGGCGTCATGGGCAAGCCCATTACCATTGCTGGCGAGTACTACACAGTCAACCCAATGGCGATTCGTTCGGCGTTGGATGTGTACGGCGAGAATGTGAGGGTGCTGGTGCCCATCGACAGCGAGGTCCACGGACGGGTCATGGTCATCTGTGTCGGAGCCATGATGGTGGGCAGCACAGTGATTACGCGCAAGGAAGGCGAGCACGTGAGGCGTGCCGAAGAACTCGGCTACTTTGCGTTTGGTGGCAGCACGATTCTTTTGCTGTTTGAGCCTGGCAAGATGCGATTCGACGACGATCTGGTAGACAACTCTAACGGAGCCCTCGAGACCTTGGTAAGCCTTTGGTCCTCTTTCCCTCCATCTCTTTCCAAGGGTGGGAGAAGGCGTTGCTAACTTTGATGGCAGATTCGCGTCGGCATGTCGATTGGACATTCGCCCACTCAATCACAGTGGACTCCAGACATGCGTAAGAACGAGCAGGACATCACGGAAGCTGATAAACAGGAGGCGAAGAGACGAATCCAAGGCAGCGCGGCGCTGGAGGAAGAGTCGCCTGGTGGCAGCGGTGATGAGAACCGGGGAACCAAGAGGACATCGCTTCCCCCGACCGTCAACACGATGGCAGCATCAGCACTGTAGAGGGGAGAGGGGAGAGGGGAGAGGGGAGAGATGAAGATGGTCATGTCTGGCCAGGAGCATGAACAGCCAGCCACAGTTTGTACACTGGAATTGCGAGAGCCTTTGCTATCATTGGATACGATACACTTGCATGGAAATCATGATTATGGGAGATTAGCATGTTTACTAGCAGATTACATTGCGGCGCCTCAACAGCACATGTATTTGAAGAAGAAGCAATCAATGAAGAAATGATTTATTACTCGACGTTTGACTCTTGGCCAAGCCAATGGCCGTTTTCCCAAGGTGAACCAAGTCGGATAATTGATGAAAATGCATGTGTCGTGCTCGAAATGAGTTGTGACCACGACATGTTTCGCCGCAAAGATACTTGACGTTGTAAAAGGAGGAACCAAGGTGCGTTAACCAGACAGAAAAAACAATGACTTGAGGCTTTCGTAGATTTGTTTTTTGTGTGTTTTCTTTTGGTTTGTATATGTCGGGTATGTTGATTAAATATGATGTGAAAAACCGATGGATGTGATCCGAACCTCGTCCCATGAACCGTCCCGCACAAAAACAACTGATAAAACATCCCCCCCCCCTCTCTCTTCAGCGCATGAAGAAGAAAAAAACCAGAAAAACAAGAAATAAGAAGAAGAAGAAGAAAGCGAAAAGACGTTGCTCGACGTGGTTTCACCGACTTGACGGCGAGGAGGAGAGGGATGAGTCTGAGGAGGTGCTTCCTCTCCGCTCGACGATGATTTTCTCAGGGGAAGGGGAGCGGGAGGGGAGGGCCATTGTTGATGATGAGGATGGTGTTGTTGTTGTTGTTGTTGTTGTTGTTGTTGTTGAAGTTGTTGTTGAGGGTGTGGTTTGGCGGCGGGATTGGTGCCATGATGTGTAGAATTGGCGGCAGAGGTGTGCGGACATTGTGTATGTGGGAGACATTGTTGTGTTGAGTTGTGTGTGTGTGTTTGTATGTGGTTTCGTGTGTGGTTTCGTGTGTGTGTAGGACAAGTAGTACCTAGTATGGCGCCTGTTGTGTGTTTACTGAGAGTACGATGTAAGTGTGAGATGAGACAAGTCGAGATGGAGATTTGTATTACAAAGGGAAAAGAAGAAGGAAGAGAAAGAAGGAAGAGAAGAGAGGGAAAATGGCAGGTTTGTTTTTTTAATTAATTCGGGGCGTTTTGCAAGAGTTGGATGAGCATCAGGTAAGGAAGGCCGCCTTATTATTAATTAGGACTAAAGGTGAGGTAACATGCTGCCTAGGCTGGTCAGTGCAGTGCAGTGCAGTTTAGTTGGTAGTGTTTTTTTTTATTTTTGTTCTAGGCAACGGAGGACGCCGTTCCCGATTTATTTTCTGGGGTGTTGACATAAGTCAGTCAGTCATGCTTTTTTGATAGACATCATTTACCCCTTTTTCTTCTTTTCTGTTTGATTTGATCATGTTTCTTGCTGGTTTACGCAGAGAGTTACGCGCTGTATGTACCAAGTAGCAGGCTTCATGTCGAGGTAGGTAGTGGTTGGGCGGATTTACACACAGAGATGGCATCAAACCACATGGAGCCTCAACAAGACCAGCCACTCACACAAAAAGTACACGTATTTCCAGGTCCAGCATCGCTCGGCAAACAAAAACGGGAAAAAGAAACCCTACCTAATTAAAAAGAAATAATAAAGAAAAACCACCAAATGACAGAGCCGAAAAAAGCACACGAGCGGTAGCCACACAAAAGCTCTGACATCACATCATGGTTGCGTTGAAAGTCGTTCCACCGCTTGGGGCAGCGAAACGTACGGCAGCCAATCAGGTGGCGCTCGGGGGGGTATGTCGGGGATGGGATGGGTTGATGTTTTGGAGTTTTAGCGCTTGGTTGGGTTGTGACCTTGGGATGGGCTCTTTTTTGCATGCTATTTGTTTTTTTTACAAGGACTTGATTAAAGTCCCATCGGCTTTGTACTGTACGGTATGGGATGGGATGGTCTGGGAGTAGGTTACTTTACGGAGCAGGATGCCTTCGCTTAAAGAACGGTGTAGAAGGTATACGATACTCGGGAAAGGGGGCTGACGTAAAGACGGATCAAATGGCCATCAACCCATTCCATTCCATTCCACATACGCAGTACAGTACGATTCAAACATCCATCTCATCACCAAACAAGACAATCTAAACGAGAAAAAAAAAGAACAGATGAAATAAAATAAATAAAATAATAAAAAATAAAATAAACAAGTACAGTAGACTGCATTCAAAGCCTCAAGCTAGACCTTCGCCTCACACACCCCAAAAATGATGCAACCGCCCCCCCGGGCCATCGCGAAAGCCCATCCCGTCCAATCGCCGCCCGTCCATTTCCGCTGACTTTCTCCCCGGGCCAGCCAAAAACAAAAAAGCCCGGGGATAAAGCCTTTCCCCCCCCCTCCAATGTCCTTTGCGCAATCTGAAATTGTCAATCAGCGTCTTGGATGGCGAAATCATCGGGTGGTCGCATGTGCATGCCTGGGTTTGGACGCTAGATTGATTAGATTCCTCAGCGAGGCAAAGGCTTGGTAATCAAAACATTCACAACACACGCAGCTTTCCACGGATCAGCTGGAAAATGTTTTTGACTCGCTGTGGCTACAGTACGTGCAGACAAAGTGACAGGGCAGGGCAGGGCAGGTGACACATGGTTAGTCGGTCCGGCATGGCTCTTGGAAGCACGCACTCTACACAGATCCATTGATTGCTTCGTTTTATCTGAGAAATCATTCCACGATCCAATATCGGATCCACCAATGTGCCCTATTGCTATTTCCCAACGATTGACTACTATACTCGTACACGATCGTAGTATTTATTCGAATCATCTTAAAAAGAAGAAGAAAGACCATCAAGTAATCCTATCCCATCCATTCTGCGGTAAATCACACGGAAGAAAAAGGGGGGGAACAAATGCCAAACTTTTACAAAGGCCGAGACGGAACCAAGTTCTGCCTCGCCATACGAACAGGAACAGGCAAATGCTTTGGTGAAATAACAGCTCTTAAAATCCCATATAGGTTTTCCCCCCTTTGCCGGATACACACGCCGAAATATCCCAGTTATGCCCAATGATTGACTCCACTAAACCCTTCCATGAGGGATGAAAACGAGCGCCGTTGCCATGCAATTTCAGTCGCTGATAGCAATATCCAAAGAAAAATTCCCTCCATCTCAAGGTAAAGACAGAGGCCGGGTTGAATGAAAAGAAGAAAATGAGAAAAGCAAAAAGAACATTGTAAAACAAATCCACCCAAAAAAAATTCATCAGGGAAACAAATAGAAAACCCCATAGAGTACCGAGAGGAAAGAAGACCTGTTTACTGGCTTAGTCGGCAATGGCGCTCTCGTCTGCCTGAGCCTGTCGCAGTCTCTCTTCATTCTTCTCAGCTGCCGGCACGTTGATGTTGGCACGAGCCTTGCCCTGCGCTTCAACGAAGCGCTCCCAGTACTCGGGGTCGCTGTCTTTCAACGCTGAGAACAGCATCTCCCTGTCCTCCTTGAAGGCTTGAACGGCGCCCTTCTTCTTGGCCATCTCCAGAAATTCACCGCCAACGTCTTCGGCAAGCTCGCCAAACACATGCACATGCTTGGGGTCGTTCTCCACGTCGTCGAGCGTCGAGAGCAGGTCGATATGATCGGTGAATCCAGATCGGAACCTGTGGCCGGCACGGTGTACACGTCCCTCCTCTTCCGCCAGCTGCTTGCCCAGGATCGAGTTGGATCGCGACAGTGTTTTTTGTTCGGGCTCGTCTTCGGCGTCCGAGCCAGCGGCCACGGCATCCTCCATGGTCGGCGGCGATGATGAGAGCATCTCCGTCTCGGTCTGGGATGCCGGCGCCTTGACCACTGCCTCCTCTGCGTCCTCGCGAGTATCGGGATACTCGTCCTCGAATCGTTTGATGATACCCTGCAGCGTATCGTCCAGGAAGTTTAGCTTGCGCAAGTTGAGCTCGTCTTCGCTTGGGTTTGCCCTGGCCTTGTTCAGCGCCGGCTGCAGACGAAGTCTGATCTTGCGAGCACCAGCCAACAGGTGCTTCGACAAGTCCTTGGCCTTGCCGCCAGTGGGGAGTCTGGGCCCGACAAAGGGCTCCTCCTCTGTCGCGCCCAGCTCGCGGAAGAATTCCCCGGATGCCCGGCGGGATTCATCGCCACGGTTCTTGAGGCAGCACGCAAGCGCCTTGACCACGCCCGTACCACCGATGACGTAGTCCTCGTCTGGCCCTGAGTCGTCATCCTCGACATCGTCATGCACAAGGACGTCATGGCCGACGAGATGCGCCAGCACGTCTGGATACCCTGGCGCTCTGGTATCGACAGTCTCTCCCTTGGCCTCGGCGAGGGCCGTGGCCACTGCCTTGTTAATCTCCGCATCGTGCATGTGCTCAATGTTCTGTAGGCAGTAAGCCACAACCTGCTTTGCCATTGCTTTGACAATTTCGCCAGCCTCCTCGTGGGGAACTTCAATGTCCACACATATCATGCTCCTGGATAGCCTGGTGGCAGCCATCAGTGACGCATACAGAGCGCAAGCTTCTTCTTGGGCTTCTTCGGTCTTGGCGCTAGCCAGGGCCACAATGTCTGCGTTTCCGAGCAGGCTAAGATGGCAGAGATGGCGTGCTTCTGGCACGATTTCGACTATCGCAATGGCTTGCTCAGAGGTCATGTTAACATCTGAAAGATGCAACCTCTTGAGAGTCTGCATTTTGGGCAGATATCTAATCGTGTTGCACAGATACGTTAGCATTCTTCTTCTCCTATAGCTTTTGTAGACTGCGGATTCATCTCGTACCTTCGAAGCAGACCAACGGCGCTCGGCGTTGATTGGAAGAGGTCATGGTTGTGTGAAAGGTCAATGAAGACGAAGTTGTTCAGCTTGGCCAGAGTAGGTAGTATTTTACAGAGAGACGAAGGGGTCAGGTTGCAATCGGATATGCTCAGTGCCCATAGCGGATCAGTCTCCTTGATGGAGGCGGCAATGGTGTCCATGTGTTCCCTGAGATCGATGCCGCCTAGATCGAGTCCCTCGCAATTCCCAGACTCGAGATATCTCACCACGTGCTCAACGCCATCCCCGTCGAGCGGGTTGCGAGCAGTACTGAGTCGTTTGATGCCACATTTAATGACCCCGTCCATGATTTTGCCCAACTGCACCATGCTCGGCTCGGTCTCACCAATGCTAAGCATCTCGAGCGCTGATCCCGCTGGGCGGTCTGCGAGTGCCTTGGCAAAGATGTCGGCAATGGTGAGAGGAATATGGACGCCATTCTGAAGAGCGCCGTTGGTGTTGGCGGACGCTTGGCGGGGAAATGGGATGCTAGAGAGATCGAGGTACTTGAGCGATCGGGACTTGTAGATGAAGAGCGAAATGTGCTTCCAGCCATCCGGACCCAGCTTGTTTTCTTTCAGCACAACTCTCTCCACCACGCCTCCCGATTCCTCATGAGCATGCTTAGCCTTTCTGCGTCTGGCCATTTCGGAGTGCTTCGCTGCTAATAGGCCGGCAAGAATGACCCTGACGCCTTCATCGGTGAGCCCACTGTTTTGCAAAATAATCTCCTTCACGGGCACGACGGCAAGGTAATCTCCCAGGGTGACGAGGTCCTGCAGCTGCATGAAGTAGCCCGTCAGGTCGATCTTGTTGACAAAGCCATTGGCCGAAGCGTTGGTAGGGTCGCTCAGCTGCTCGGTAATCTTCTTCAAGATGGGCGTTTCGCGAAGCTGGCAGCATCTCCGATAGATCCTGACCGGGTTCATCGTGGGGGAAGTGCTCGTCTTTGGGCTTCCGTTGCCGTTGAGCTCGGCAGAATCGCTGCTGTCATAGTGAATCTCTATAGGGATGGCCCCGCTCTCTTCGGCGAGCCGCCGTCTTTTTTCTTTCCTGGATTTGCGCTCCTCTTCACTGCGCTTCTTCTTTTCCTTTTTTCTTGTCATGTCCTTTGGCGCTGCTTTTTGATCGTCTGGGCTATCCGCTCTCTTTGCGCCGTTCTGAGTCGGGGCAGCCTGCTTGGCCTCGGCTTCGCGGGGCTTGGCATCATTGACGCCAACACTTTCAGTTGAAGAAGAAGTCTCTTTCTGCGCTTCGGCAACCTTTGGATTCTTCAGCGCTTCGCCCTCGCCCTTCTCGCTCAGCTTTTTCTTTTGGGCGTGGTCGACGGCGTTGGTTTCTGCCTCGGATTCGGCGTACTTTGGCATGGGCGCGATCTCGACATCGACGAAGAAGGATACTCGCCTCAGCTTGTTATCCTTGAGTTCCGTGATCGGACACCTGTCTCGGTCCCGATCCACATTCAATATCCGGCGCTCGACCAGTCCGTGATTGATCTTGCCGGCGGCACCGAGAGGGCCACTGTTGCCTCCTGATGAGGAAGAGAGTCGCCGAAAAACGCCAAGCAGCCCGGCCTGGCCCGATCTCGGAGGGGCCGGAGTGTAAGGCTCATCGCCTTCTGGCTTCAGCCCATGCTGGAGAACAGCGTTCTTTGTCGGCGTGATTTTGGGGACAATGGGTTCTGCGTTTGCTGCTGGAGAAGCCGGTTGACTCTGTTGCGCAGGTGGTTGCTGGTGATTGGTAGGCTGCTGAGGTTGTCCGTTTGGCTGAGGGACTGCGCCCGAGAATTTGGCTGAGATGTTGGAAAACCACGAATTGCGACGGTGGGGTGGTGTCGCGCTGGAGCTGTTGGGCTTGTCGACAGAGCCCGAGCGTGAGAGGCGCCTGGCGTTGCTTGCGCCATTGACAGGAATTGGCTCCGTGCGGCCATTTGGCTTCCCGTTGGTCTCGACCTTAGGCTCATGCTTGACCTCGACCTTTTCGGCGGTTGATGAAGGGCTCAGCTTGGGCGGGGAGTTTTGAGGGACACTTCGTGGCTGTACAGTAGCAACGGGAGACTTGATGGGCGCAAAGGCTGCCTTGTTGAATTTGTCTACACGGATTGTTAGTCTTCGATTCCCCATGGCGATTGCCCAGCAAGCAGTCTGCCACGGCGCCGATGGACTTATACGATGAAGCCATCATGGAGCGCGCCGTGGCAGACACAGCGGTGGGAGTGGCAAAGCAGCCTGCCTTTTGGTGAGCCCTGCGTCATCCAACTGACGTCGACGCCATGGACTTGTTCCATGCTGGAAGGATTCCGCAAACGCTCGCGCGCTGGAGTGTCGAGAATGGAGGCTGCGGGATTGCTGCTGCGGTTGTGGAAAGGAGAAGGGAAGAGAGGAAGAAATCGACGGCTGAGCGAACGGCGGGTTGATTACAACATCAGCCCGGCGCCTTTGACGGACGCTGGCGGCTCCAGCTGCGTGCGATCCAGGCTGGGGTAAGGCGGAAATATGTGGAGGGGGGAGCGACAAAGACGTCAACTAAGCCCACTGTAGGGGGACGCCTGACAAGCCCACAGCGGGGTAGATCCAGGTCTGGTCGCAGGGCCTTTCAGCCTTTGTTCCCAGTTGGCACTCGTATTGTGTACCTACTCGTACTGGAGCACTGCGAGCTGTCGCCTCTCATCAGCCAGCCCGGGCGAGTCGAGTCAGACCCGGTTCAACGGCTGCCATGGAAGATCTGTGCAATGCCAGGGCTCTTTCATCCAGCGACAGCGGCGGCCTACGAGTAGCTCCACGGCAACGTCTCGATCAATCACGAGCCCCTGATGTGCTTTTCAGGTGTCGCAGTGAGCACCGTCCAATTGGTCCAGCTTGGGATGACTTTCGCCACGGCATTCCCTGCGCTGAGGATCGACTGCACAAACAGGGAAACCAAAGAGGCGAACTCCGCTGGAGCTGACTGTGTCTGTGCTGTGACCGGCAAGCCACAGACAGACTTCATTTACACCAGACGCACAAGAAAGCTTCAATAGGAAATTTTCTCTGCGCTGGAATCCTCTCCAAGCAAAGGGCCCCGGTTTCTAAGCACTTGCCGCCTAGTTGCCAGCCCGGTGCTGACGGGTCCCTGAGCAACAAAGTCCAAGGCCGTGGTGCAGATACCGATTCCGCATAGCCTGCTCCATCCATGTACATGCTCTTAGCAGAACTTCTCCATCCAGCAAATGCGCTTGTTGCGTTCCCATAGTTTAGAGTGCTAGCCTGGAATCCAGGCCATTCATTGATGGAGTGGGCGAAAAGTGTCCGTACCTAATTCAGCGACTATACCGGGATCCTTGCTGTACATTTCTCCTTTATTACCTGCTGCTCCCAAACCCTCCGGGCGAGCCGAGCGGTCATCGGCACCAAGCGTAAATTGTTTCTTGAACCTGTACACGTATCTACGCCGTTCTCCTGAGCTCCAGGCGGCAATTAATGGCTCAATCAAGGAACTGCCAGCCTCGTCGATGGGTCGATGCCATGGCCCTTTTTCGGCTAGAACTACATGCTGCGTCTGACCCCCCTGACGTATGTACTCGTACTGTACATACACGTACTTGGGTGCAAAGTCACAAGAGCATGCCACCACTGCACGTGAATCGATATCCGCGCCTAACGCAGGGGACCGACTCAGTAAAATGACATGAAGATCCCTTTCGATTTACTTTTTTTTCCCTCGACATCCAGCCGCATTCTACGTCATTTTGCAACTCCCGCTGTGCCGTGCTACCCTGCATATTAGTAGTAGTCCTTTAGTAAGATTATACCAAGACAGTCTGTAAGAGCGAAACAGACAGCAAATACCTACATACGAGCACCGTACGTGGCAAAAGCGTTGCCAACCGTACTGTGCAACCTTATACTCCGTCTCTAGGTAGGGTTGCTCCTCGCATCATGCTCCCATGCAAGTATATCCCGTTCGGCGCTTTGGCCTCGCCCAACTTGGGCCAACAACCGAAGCACGGAATTCGATTCCGTGATCATGAGAGTGCCAAGTCATCCCTTAGTTCGTACGGAACACGGATCGAACTCCCAACATAGTCTGCTGTTTGTCCTCTGCGATCGGAACTTTCCATGGAAAATGCCACCGACTCGTGGGCCAGAAAGGGGCAGCCCGATCCACCCCTGCTAATGGGGAACTCCGATAAAACCTCATGCAAGACATGAAGCAGCATGTGTGTGATGTGTTATTGCCGCGCATATGTCCCGCAAGGGAAGCACAGGATCGACGGAAGCGCCATTTTCGCCCGGTTCGCCTTCCGTGCTCCATGGAAGATGGAAATTGCTTCATTAACCTCGGTCCCTGTGGCATTGCTTTGAGCGGTTTCTGCCTCCTTAACACATGGCCATGTTTATCCAAGCTTATGTAACGATTCACACATCTCGAGTGGCCATCTTCGGTTCTTCACCGAGCTGGTCTGTTAGGTTTGACCATCGTCCTTCGTGTTACTTTAGAGAACTAAGAGCTAAGTTGACATACATACGAGATATGGATGCGATGTGGAACTCGATGAGATGAGTGTAAGCGCCCATAGATAAGATAAACCTATCAATCCGAATAGTAGTGAAGCAAGCATTGAGGTGGTAAACGTTGTGTTGGTATCAGCCTACGACTTCCAAAGCAAAGAACATGACATCCACGCAATGCTTGAAATTGTACGAGAAATGCTAACTACACCATCCATCCAAAGACAAGATGGAAGCACGACCGCTGCATGCATGTTGAAAAAAAGAACCAATCAAAAAATCGATTGTGCTTTAGGGTAGGGTGGTCGAGAAAATTTCAACCTTCGTGCAGTCACCCATCTTATCAACATGCACAAGTAAGGTAGTCACCAATTGTTCTTTGCGAGTTGGCCACCACACATACAATCCGGCCTAGTAAAATTTCAGGTACCAAGGAGTAATTATTACTATTACGCCGCCTGGACATGACTACATTCAAGTACACGTCACTTGCGATCGAGGTCGGACAAGGTAATGCACGAAACAATGGATCTATGATCCGGATTGGAAGGTATCTTTTCATTCATTTTGACCATGAGGACCGACCCTTTCATTCCTGTAACTCCAGACCCAATATATCGAGAATCAAATCGCAACCTGCCCAAGTTCCCCTTTTTACTCATCAGCCAGGATCTTCTGGATCTTGGCCTGCACGTTGGCAGCCTTCTCGGCCTTGGACAGTCTGTGAGTCTTGTGCTTCAGGGAAATGGCCTTCCACTCCTCCTTGGTCTTCTTCTCACCCTCAACCTTCTTGAAGGGGTCCTCACGGATGGCCTTGTGGGCCTCGGTGTAGAGGTCCTCGAGACCGTCGGCCTCGATATCGTCCTCAATGTACTTGGAGAACTGGCTGTTGTAGCGCTCCTCATCGTCATCGGCGAGGGTCTCCATGTACTCGGCAACGTGGCCACCGTAGATGTACTTGCGGAGGGTCTCGGCGTCCAGCTCCTTGCTCTCCAGGTCGTAACCAGGGAATCGCTTCTCGGAGTGGGGGACGAAGATGCCGCCGTCGGAGGCACCCTTGAGGGCACCGAAGACACGGGCACCGGTGGAGGTACGGGCAAGACCAACATCAAGGAAGGCCTTGAAGGGGCGGCGCTCGCCATCGTCGGTCTCAGCGGCCTCGGTGAGGGTGAACTCACCGTCAGCCTCCTCAACACCGACAAAGTCCTTGTCGAGGCCGAGCTTGGTCAGGACACGGCGGGCGATCAGGAGACCGGTGGCATAGGCGGCAGACCAGTTGGTCAGACCGTGGTTGATGCCGTAGGCCTTCAGCTCGTGGGCGTAGGCAGCGACCAGGACCTTGTCACCGGAGATCTCAGAGCTGACGATCTGCATGACGATGTCCTTGTTGGTGAAGCGGACGACCAGGCGGTACTTGGGAGCATTGTACTTGTTCTTGGCCTGGGTGATGAGGCGCTTACGGGCGTAGTAGTCGGTCTTGCCCTCACGTCTGCGCTTGTACTTGGTCTGGTAGCGGCTATAGTTGAAATAAAGTTAGCTATACATTATTCCATCGGATCATGCACCCAGAGCATCTCTAAAGATTGAATTCAATGCGAGGATAACTAACCTGTAGTACGCGCTGTTCTTGGAGAGCTTTTGGAAAGGCTGTCACAAAAAATCCCCGAGTCAGCAATTTGCGCTTCAGAATGCTCGTGTTCCTTCCGAAGCTACTTGCGACGACTCTCAATCACGAGCAATTGACGGCATTTCTGCCTCATTTTGCGGTTGAAGCATCTCCATGACTGAGATTTCAACGATGGGCCCAACTTACCATTTTGACGGTGGTGCCTGGCGATGGCTGGCTTGCTCCTCAAACTGATGAAATTTGATGATGAGGATAGAGGAGGAAATCTTGGTGGGCTAATTTTTGAAGCCCTAAAATTTCTCGTGCGCTACTGCTTCGCCTAGTTCCACACTGTGGACAGCCGGGTTGGGGACGAATCGCCCTGTGGGAAGCTGGGTTGGGGACGAATCACCTGACACGACCCCTGGACCAAGAAAGAAATCAGACTTATGTAATCTTGTAGAGCATGGGGTGCATGCGTTCTTATCTTATCGCCATTCTGGCGCGTGTGGAGCGCGAACCGAGGTACCGGCAACTGTTTGAAGCTGGGGATGCTGAGAGCCGCCATTTCGTCCTGAAAGATGCAGTGACTCCGCTCTTTGTTTGTATTCTTGCAATGGACCCGGAGAGTTATTCTGTTGGTCAAATATTGGAAGCAATTGACGCCGAGATGGATGGTTTAAAGCCCAAAGTCCTACTGTTTGATATTGGCGGTGTTTGTGTAAGTTGCGTATCCCTTGGGGAGTCAACCGCTTCGCATTTACTCTCTTACACGCGAATACGTGCATGCGATTTCCTCCTCCATTACTAATGTGCTTAGGTTAAATCCCCCTTTCAAGTTATCCTAGATTATGAGCTTGGCTTGGGAATCCCGCCCGGCTGGGTGAACTACTCCATCTCCAAGTCTGGTCCTACGGGATTCTGGCAACAGATTGAACGTGGGCAGATCCCTATGGATGACGCTTTCTTCGAAGGGTTTACCAAAGACCTCCATGTGCAGAAGCGATGGGAGGAATTCTACAAGACACAACTGGCAAAGGATCCTCGCCTAGCCAAGGAAATCCCCCCGTTGCCAGACATTGATGGCAAATGGCTGTTCAACGAGATGATGTCTGGATCCGGCCCAGACGCGTATGACCCTTGGATGTTCCCAGCACTTCAAAAGCTCAGAGCTAGTGGAAAGTACATACTGGCAGCTCTGAGCAACACGGTCATCTTCCCACAAGGTCACAAATTGTACCAGGAAGACTTCTTTGACGAGCCTGTTCGCCAGATATTCGACATATTCATATCATCGGCCCATGTTGGTATCCGCAAGCCAGACCCGAAAATGTATCAGCTCGCCCTACAGAAGCTCAATGCTTTTGCCAAGGAGAACGCAAACGACCCACGACACCAGGGGAAAGGGTGGGAAGCCGGAATTTCGCCAAAGGACGTTGTTTTTCTGGATGACATTGGCGAGAACTTGAAAGAAGCTCGCAAACAAGGCTTCAACACAATCAAGGTTCCCTTGGGGAGAACTTACGAGGCGGTTGAAGAGCTGGAGAAGATTACAGGGCTGACGCTCGAGGGGCCGCATCCAAAGATACCCATCAAACCGAACTACGGGCCACGGGCCAAGATATGACGATGTTAATGCCACCACCAGCGACATGAAGATCAGCAAGAATTTTGATCCTTTGTTTCTAAATAGACGCTAATACTAGATGATTCTTCTTCCTTCCCATTAATGAACAGTTGACGGCTCATGGAATATACGCTTAAGGACATACAACTGGCCATGCTATAGCTACCACTGTTGCCCATCAGCTCCCTACATCGTCAAAATTCCAAGCAGAATTCTCATACAGCCCATTAAACCACCGTGGATAATGAGGCCACCAAACTTCGCTTCCCAATTTCTCATCCTCGGTTATGATGGCCGGACCTCTTGCTCCATCATCAAAGGGCTCATTTGTTACCACTCGGTTCCTCTCCGCTTCATACCACGCTTTGACACTCTTCGCTTTCTTGGCTAGTTGTGCTAATCTCTTGGAATTCATCATCTCTGCCGGTTCGAGATTCGCTTTCATGCTGTTGGCAAACTTCTCCATATCTTGTTTCAACGCCTCTTCAGCTTCCTCCAAGTGAGAAACGAAACGATCTACCATGGAGGAAAGATCAAATTCGAGATGTGCTAGTTTGGCATTCCAACCCGGAACCTTGATCAAATGAAGGCGAGCAGCAAGGGTCATTACAAATATAATCGGCTTCGTAGCAATCGTAGATTGATAAGAATACCAGCCATCAGGACGGGTTACGAGAAGATTCTCAAAATATGCTTTAGTTGCAGACATGCAGTTTGTCAAGCACAGGTGCCACAGCTCGAGCGGCGCATCTTCTACTTCTCTCGCGGCCGGTTCAAAGCGTGTAACAGGTTCATAGAGCCGGGCTAAAAGGTAGTTATAAGCCAGTCTAAAAGATTTCTCATGGCTGCCAACGTTTCCAATGGACGGCCAACGAAACTGTTGTTGATCGAAACCCAAGGACTCAATTATGTTATTCAACTCGGGGCGAAGCCGTTGAGCAGTCTCCTTAACCAGAGTAAGATATGCTTCCGTTCCATCATGACGGGTATTGGTGTGAAAAGCCTCAGATATCTTGTCACTCAGCTGCATCAATCTCACATATCGCTCTAGGACAAAATCCGTGGGACATTCGGGATGTTGCCTGAGCAAGCTGCGACACAAATCTACGTAGGAGTTGTTGAGGGGATTTTGCCGACCAAAACGGACCGAATCTCTACATCGTCAGAGTTAATAAAGAATGTTCGACTTTGATTGCCTGGTTCATGCAACTTACGCTGAAAGCACACTGACGCACCCCAGAAACGCTCTGCGGGCGTCAATAGCGCCGCTTTGAGGAAGCATAGCTGATCTTTGCGAGGAGGAGATGCTGACGAGAGGGATATTTCCGGACTGAGAAGCGTCAAATGACCTCCCTGAAGCTGCTAGATAATGAGCATATCCAAGTGCAATATGTGTGAGATTCGTGATTTGGTGATTGCTCAGATCGCATATATCAGCCCTAGGCTTGTCAACTTCGTAGTCGCCATAGACGGAGACATTGATACGTACCAAGCTATGCAAAGTAAGATACTCTGTAGGAGATCCAAGTCAAAATCTTTCTCAGTAAACAGACGTTGGCCGAGATGAGCAAAGAAGTCATCCTTCATCGCTGTCGTTATGAGCCACGGTAACGGCGTGGCAATTATCATGATTGCCTTGAAGGTGAATGTATTCCGCTGTTCTAGCCGACGGGCGGATATTCCATTCTCTAGGACGACAAACGGAAAATGATGGTAGTATTTTTGCTGGAATATATGCAGGATTTCATCTGCCTGTGGCCATGGGATGTTAAATAGTTGCGTTTCTTCAGAGATTTGTAGTAGACGGTTTGCTTTCAGACTATTAAGGTCTGCTCTTTCATCCGTGTCTGAGACTGATGTATATGTTGAAACGTCCATTGTACCTATAGATGAGGTTGTGATGAGCGATGAGCTGTGAGGATTTGATCCGTTGCCTTGTTTCGGAAACTCGTCCCCATTCGGAATTCTCGATGGTGAGATGGTCATCCGCTGTTCTCCATAGTCCTTGTTATGTATCCTTGATACAATGTACCACGTCAGCCAATGCCAGCTACGTGTCTATCTCATAGGAGAGAATGAACCTATCATACATTCTGATCTGCCTCGGCTTTCTCAAGCTCCGACGGGCCTGTTCTGTACAACTCACTGCCAACTGACTGCATCTAATATATTCTAACAGTAAGCAAATATCAAGTAAAACATGGCATTGGCCCACGTGTACCTTTCACAGGATGAATTCGAAGCTTGAAAATGGCACCTTGCCTTGGCTTTGGAGCATTGCTCACATGCTCTGCGTCGCCGCGGAGGGCTCTGCGATCTCGACGTCTCTAGGAAGACGCTCATGCTTTGGATGAACTGTTACTGGTTACAGCATATTTGGACCATTGACTTGTTTTGTGTTCTTTTTTTTTTTTTGTCTTGGGGGACTTGAAAGCCTTCAGTCATTACCCAGCGATGATATCTTGGCGGGGTTGGTGGAGTGAAAGCGCTGAATTTACAGCTGGAAGAGTTTCGGCGGACTCTAGTCTTTTCCAGCGTAAGCAGCATTTGATGAGTTGAGCGCACGTAAATGCACCTGCTGTAACCTCGCCTTCAAATTATACCAATAGCTGGAAGCCATACCTTGTGCGCAAAAGTTCTTCTTCTCATTTCTTCTTTGCTTTTCTGACTTATCTCTCTCGGCAGGTTCTAGTATTATTGCTCTATGGCTAGCCAATATATATATATATATATATATGCGTGATGAATAAATTAACCAACCTTGCTAATGAACAACCCCAGAACCAATGTGAAACTCTGGAGCCTTCACATTGATGGATACGTACGTATATAAACAACAGGTTCAAGAGCTTCCATAAAACGGCTTCCAATCTGAATTGACCTAACATCTGAAGCTATATTCAATGAAATTTGACTAAAAAAAAACTACACCGCTCATGCTTCGTTCCCTTGCCGTATCACGACTCTAACAGTCCTCGCATCGTTCTAACTCAGACAAATTGCCCCCCCCCCCATGCCCATATGGTCGTACATTTCCCAATACAGTTGGTGATATATAAACTGTCAACATCATCTTCGTCTCATTTACTGTCCCAATGGCGCTCCATGTCCTGATAATTTCCGCTGGGCGCCATCCCTATCTGACGACCCATCATCATCAGGCTCTTCTATGGGAGACCAGGTGCCATCGGCACGCATCTCAATCTTTTTGACGTTACTCTTCCCGCTCTCCAGGATCTTGTTCTTGATTTCAACCAAGAAATCGTCCACCATAAGACTGCAAGGCCGGGCATCCATACCACACAAGGGGCAAGCCCAGCAGTCAACTATTGATGGCTCACCCTCATCCTGCGACCACTTGGTTGGACGCGAGTCCAGCCAATTTTGCAAATCAAAGCACTCGAGATGGCGGCACTCGCGGCCTCGGACGGGGATATCGACGAGCTTAGAACTAATTATGTCTGTCACCGAGAATATCCAAGTATCACTCTCAATGACAATCTCATCAGTCTCTAGTCTCTGTAGCCGCCTGCTTATCTCGTATTTGGTTGCTTCTACAGTGGTATGTGGCCCAGAGATCACCAGATCCCGAACAGAGCTGTGATTTAATGTCGTTACAAGTTCCACGGCCATGAAGTAAGCAATGTCTTTCTTGAGGTTTTGAGAAAAGTATGGCAAATTCACTTTGATTGTATTCTTGCCTTCGACCAGGGAGTCGGTAAGTTCGATAGGCAAATCGTGATGAAAGTGTTGCCTACGACGAACTTGAATTATTTCATCATTAAACGAGGCAAAGAAGTGAGGTGGCCAGTAGGTCGGAGTTCGAGACCATGTGGCTGGATCAAAGGCCGGCTGTCCCTCTCGGCTGCGACTTTCGCACAAGCGAATGCGGTATCGATGAGACTTGTTAAAATGTCGACTCACAGGTACGTCATATATGGGCTCATCATCAGTAGATTCAGATGATAGAGTGGTAAGGGAGAGTCTATCCAACTCTTCCTGCGAAATATTAAATTCCAAGGTGGTTACCCCCATGTATGGCCGGATTTCTGTTGGCTCCAAGATGAACTTTGAGAAAAACTGATAGTAACGAGTCCTCTCCGCACTAGGGCTCTGACCTCGACTTGAGGGAGCTCTCCGAGGGCTGCGCAAACGAGCCAAGTGGAGGCCTGCTCGAACAGATGTCCAATCATGTGGACTTTGAGGATAATCACGGGACGAGAGAGGATGACTGGTGAAGTGAGGATGAGGCTGACTGCGTGTTGAGGCGGGCGACCATGTAGACGGTAAATATTGACTTTGGGGGAGCATTTGCGGCTGCATGTAGTGCATCCCGGATGCCTGAAGCATTTGTGCAGTGGCGTGGTGAATCTGCTGATGCTGATGATGTTGAGGTGTCATGAAGGGTTGGGGTTGCGGCGCCATTTGGGGCTGAGAAGTCCGAGAAACTTGGTGAGGCTGAGGCGTCCAAGGGGCTTGAAGAATGTGGGATGCCGGTGGAAGCTGAGGAGCTTGCGCAACCTGTGCTGGAGGCATATGGTGATGATATTGTGGATGAGATAGGGGTCGAAATGGACTGTTTGGCAGCAGGGGTGGCGGTGTCTGATATTGGCGGCCACCGCCGCCCTGCGTCTGGACTTGCTGCTCTCGTGACCATGGGGATGGCAAAAGGGCCTGCGTGTTTTGAAGAGGATGCTGCATTTGCCGGGCGTCGAGACTCTGACTGTGGCCGTAATTGTGAGGGGGGTTGCGAGGATCTTGATGCTGACGTTGATGCTGGTACTGATGGCCTTGGTGGTAAGGGGCAGCAGCAGGAGGAGGGGGTTGTTGGTGATGAGGAGGAGGAAGAGGAGAAGGAAAACCGTGGGCGTGGCTCGGCTGTTGCTGGGGCATGGCTGTAGGAGGTGTTAATTCCGTATCATTTGGCGGTGCGATCATCGGAGGGAGTAGGTTCGAATGCTCAGGGACGGGCTGCCTTGGTGGTCTTGGGGCTATCAAAGGATGCGAGGTTTGTTGGCTGTTAATCACACCACTTGGATATCGCAGACCGGACTGCTGGGGCTGGGGCTGGGGCTGAGGCTGGGGCTGGAGCCTAGGCTGTTGCTGATGTTGAGGTTGAAGTTGAGGTTGAGGCTGGGGTGGAAGTTGATGCTGAGGCTGAACTGGATGTTGAGTTTGAGTTTGAGGTGGAGGTTGAGGTTGAGGTTGATGTTGATGTTGAGGTGGAGGTGGAGGTGGAAGTCGAGGCCGATGTGGTTGAATTCGAGGTTGAAGTTGAGGTTGATGCTGATTTTGAGGTTGAGGCGGAAGCTGAGCTTGAGCTTGAGCTTGATGCTGATGCTGATCCCGAGGTGGAAGTTGAGGTCGAGGTGGAAGCGGATGCTGAGGCTGAGGCTGAGGCTGAGGTCGAGCTGGAAGTTGGGGCTGAGATTGAGCTGGAAGTTGAGGTCGAAGTTGGGGAAGCTGAGGCTGGTTTTTGAAAGTCGCTGCGGGCTGAGAGTCTTCAAGATGCTGGGCTCGTTGGTGAGGAGGCCGCGAAGGAGCTGCGTGAGGTTGATTGTTCATGGTATCAGGCGCTTGGCACTGAGCAGGATCTTGTGAAGGCGGCTGTTGCTGAGGCGGTGCGGCCAGCGTATGAATATTTGTATTTGCGTTTGCGTTGATGTTGGCGTGATTGAATGAGGGAAGTGGTGGCATTCTGTGGGATGGATTCACGTTGGCAGCTGGCGCGGCTGATACAGCACCTACATGTACACACAATCACAACTGTCAGCCTCATGTCGTCAACCCCCGTCCTAAAAGTTGGACACTGACTCACCTGGCGGATGATCTTGGTCCAGGGCCTCTTGGACGATTCCCCTGTAGGTCGCCAGCATGGTACTGCGAATTATATCCACCTCTTCCTGCGGCACGCTCTGTTCTTCGAAGACGAGCTCTTGGCGATTGTCCATGGTGAAGAGATGGTTGATCTTGGCGGAGAATGGACCGTCTGGAACCCCGATTGCTCTGCGGATGCGCTTGAATAGTGCACTGGCGATGGAGTTTGACACGCATCTAAGCTCCTCGCGGATCTGATGTGCCATTGGTGGCATCAGCTGAGATAGGAGACATCTCTTCAAGATTGGCCAGTTCATGGCAAACGTGGCGATGAAGTCCTTGGCTTGGATATTTACTCGGTCAAGGCCAACAACGTTTCTAAACCCAGGGAAATTGGAGAACCATTGCCAATGAGGGTCGGTTATTTGCCTATCGTCGATAAAGACGGTACAGAGCTCACTAAAGGCTACGTCGATGAGCTCAGGAGGAATGGGGAACAAGGTGGCATATGCTGCCTTTCTATCCAACTTCCAGCAGGAGCACTGTTGATGGACAATAAGGAAAACGGGATCCAAATCGTGGCAAGCTGATAGCAGCATGCCGCATCGATTCTGCTCGGCATCGTTGCCCGGGAATTTGCCATCTTTGATGTCCTGGACTCGCAGTCGAACCACGGAGATGGCCCACATCAGGGTTGTATGGAGAGGAACCGGCTCTTTCGCGGGCTGATTCAATTCCTGGGCTGGTCTTTGGACGGCACCGTCTTGGCTACTCGTGGTTTGATAGTTTATGCTTTCATGAATCGAAGGCAACGCCATTGCTGTTCCTGTGGAGGCCGCCGTTGGTTGTTCGTATGGCTCGGCTGGAGCGTGAGCCGACGCCGGACTCGCTTCATCTGTGAGAGACGGAGATGGCAACACGGAGGAAGTGCTATTTGGCACACATAGAGACCTGTTAGCAGATATAAAAAGGGGATTCCAAAATGGCACGAGCTCTGTTGGGTGCTAGAGGCAAAGGAAAAGGCCAAGGGTGAGGGAAGACTCTATTGATAAGGAAGAAGAAGAAGAAGCAAGACAGAAGAAGACAAGGAAATGGGAAAGGGGCCAAATAATGTGTGAAATGCCAGACTTGGCTCGTACCTATGGGAAGAAGAAGGGGGCAATCTAGTATACGGGTCTACGTATTCTTGTGCCATGGGTGCCTCTGAGACTCGTGCCAACGCGGAACCAGGCACGACGGGAGCGAGGAAGGGCGGAGGCATGGCAGAAGTAGCACCAGGATTGACGGCAGTAGCCGTATAATCCATGCTTTGACCAACTGCCAGCTGCAGGTTGATGGTGTTGGGCTTGCGCCTCCGCGGTGCCGGCTTGCGAATCTGCTTGGCCCCGGGCTTTGGAGGCATGACGGTTGGTTGAGAGTCGAGTCTGTTGGCGGGAAGCGACTGTTAGTTGAGGCCCCGCAAAGCATAACGTACATGTAGCCTTTGGGAATAGACGGATATAGTTGGACTGACTGTAGTATTACCTTGGCAGATGGATCCTTGCAGCAACACTAGTATGTAGTCGTGAGTTGGATGGATTGGTACATGTATACCAGAAGCAGGAGGTGGGAGCAAGTCACATTCAAAATCAGGACAATGTACATGAGACGAGCCGTGTAAGGTAAAGAGGAGGAGAGAAGGAGAAGGAGAGAGAACACATTTGAGCACGAAAGGATCCGTATACCTGTATTTATACCCAGATACCTGGTAGCAATGTACATACATGTCTAAGATGCGATCGTGCCGCCTCATGCCAACCACCCATCCATGATAGAGCAGAGCGCCACCGCGGAGCTTTTTGACAGGACATTATCTTGCCATCCTGAGCGGGCTGCCTGTGCCGACGTGTTCGCAATGACAGAGCTGAAAGCGACTTTGCAGGGATTCCCAGTCCCATGCACTGTTTGTCACACTCCCTCTTTTTTTTTTTTTTCCTTTTTCCATGCAGCCACAGCAAGCCATGCAGCGAGACAAACATCCGGCTCCTGTGAGAACGCACAGGCACTGGGCCTGGGACTGGGAAGCATGCGTGTTGGAGCGGTGAGGGCAGCATGCAGTCTGTTGCTCATGCATCTGAGGAGCGCGAGACATTCTAGTTGCTTCTATATCCAACCTGTACAGGTGTGTATGTACATGTATGTAGTCCGGCTGCTCGAGACGGGGTGGCATGAGACGGAGAATATAATGATGTCTTCCATCAAATGTCAGTTGCAGCAGCTTGTACCGTGTATGTATGTACATTACATTATGTATGCCGAAGCCCTCTCTATACATGTACAAGACGGAGCATTGCTTCCACCAGCCAGCTTCCCGCACCAAACGGCCACCTGAACACCACCGCATGTATGCCGGTAGGCGACGTTACACAAAGGGAGCCCTCTGAAATGAAAGAGGTCGAGCAAGATGCATGGTGGCGTATCCATGGCAGGGATTGTGTCTTGGCTGCCTTGTGTTTCCTCTTTGCTCTTGTACTCGTAGTCGCTAATGACGGGAGGACCCTACAGACGAATCAAACGAGAGGGAAGCATCCCGGGTTCGTGATGCTGCCTCGACTTATATCAGACATGAATAATACTTGCTAGGTAGCAACGCATATTACTACATGAGCTCTATGCCAGGGTTCATGCCGGCTCTCTACCTAAAAGTCCCAATCCATGCTCATTGACACCACATACATGTACGCACATGTACATACACATGCTCCTCATGCCCAACTCCACCACATCTCAAAGTCGTAGCCCATGCAGCTCGTACATGGATGTACCTCGCGAGTGTCAATCTCAAGCATCTCTCAAGTTGACGTTTGGCAACCGGGTGGAATTAGTCATGCCGGGTACATGTGTCCGTGGATCTCTCAGACTGCTAGTCGTTTGCTGTAAGCGGCCTTACATGGCCAGGGGGGCTTTTTGCATGGGCGTGGCTAAGCGCCTGCATGCCGCTAAAACAGACAGCTGAGGTGGTTTTAAGACACTGTGTCCAGCACGGAGTGCAGTAGCCCGGTTTTGCATGAAGCCGCTGCGCCATTGTCCGCGTATGTACTCGTAAACAGTCGGTTCACTAACAAGGAGGGCGGGGGGAACTCGAAGCGACAAGGGGCCAGAAGAGAGCTGCTCCAGGCTTTGTATAGAGAGTCAGAACATCCCGTACACTGTGCCGAGGCTGGCGGGCTCGACATTGCTGGCTTTCAACCCGGCCCTTGGGCGAGTATCAGGGCCGGCATCATTGCGGAGTAGCACATGCAAGGGAGTGGCTACCAGGTCTTGCTGGTATCACATTGGTACGGCTGGAAATGAAAGCAGCCGCCCAATCAATGTTGGACGTGGGGACACAGACACGGCGGCTGTAAGGCGACCAAGATGGCAGTCGAGGTTGGATTCCAATCGTCCTTGGGGGCTCGGCCGGGTATTCCACCTCGGGTTCGGCCAAAGCAGCTTCATCCATCTCTGAGCAATTTGTATATACATAAGGGAGAGCTGACTGTTAATAATGTTGACTTATGGGATGACAAACTGAAGTTGATGACGAGGTTACCCGCTGTTGAAAGATTCCAAGTCATCAGTTCATTAGGACGCTCCCGCCAGAATCTTGTGTTCCCACCGCATCTGCCACAACGAAACAGGCCGAATAACGGGGTTCGAAAGCTGCAACTGATGGATTGCGTCGCCATGTGACCGAACAAGGCCAAAATCTACCAACTCCGTAACAATCTTGCATCCGGGGCAACCATGCTCCCGTGCGACGTCTTCCCAAGCCGTGACGACAGCAAACCCCAGGGCAACCTCCCGCGTGCCTTTCCGGAGGATGGTAGCAAGACGCCTTTCCTTGGCCCTCTGATATCTGAAAAGCACCGCCAGTCCCTCCTGGCCGTTCCAAATCTCCATCACTTGAAGCTTTGGCATTTTGATGGCGGCCGCCGATGCTGCGATGAGCATGTCGTCCGTCGCAACCGGGCTCGCATCGGGTCCAAGTAGGCTTGAAGTCATGGCAAGCCAAGTCAGGTTGGGCCACGTCCAGGAAGGCTCGCAAGCTTGGAAGAAATGGCCGGCATCCACCATGAACGACGCTGAGAGGTGCTCAAGCTCAAGACTGGCCTTGGCGACTGCGCGGCTGACTTGGAGAGTCGAGACTCGAGCAGGGCTATAGTCTCCGAAATCAGGAAGATACAGCGGATTGAAGTTCTCGAATAGCACAAGCTTCCGCAGTGGTTGAGAAGCGAGCGATTCTAAAAGGGATACGGAATCTACCTTGCACCAAAGACGAGGTTGCCTGCGGTCAGCATGACGAAGATGGAAGAATTGGCTTGATGCGCTTACATCCATCTGTCACCCCCTGTTGGTGATCAAACGGTTCTATCCAAGGCTCGTAGTGAATACCCTCAAGCCCAGGGAGCCGGGAAAACATATATTTCAGGGTTGTCGGCTTCCATCGTCGGCGGGTTTGTTGGCGCAGCAGTACGGCTGTGACTGCCGGAACTGCTGGCAGTTGCTGCCACCACTGTTCTTCTTGTTCATCGTTATCGAATGTCTCTTCGCCGAAAATCTCACTGAAAACTCTGGAAAAAGCATTGGGCATCGGGTTAGAATCTCGCTTGCCAGCAAGCCAGCCGTGCTCCTAGTCGGACCATCTGGGCAACAGAAAATGATCTGGGCTTCGACGAGGGCGGCACTCGTCAGGGGACGCGCCAGAGGCAGTATCAGGCATAAAGGTCAGATATTTGAACCAGTGCCTTGCATCAGAAGGAGAAAAGACACTGATATCGAGCACCAAGCCGCCGCTTGGTTTCCATGCACTGAGAATCGTAAACAGTGCCATGAATGTTGTGGTGACTAGGAGACAATCGCCATCACTGACCTCCCAGATCTTATCAATGCCACAGTCATCGCAATTGTATGTTTCGAGTTCCAAAGACAGCCATATGTAGCGCACGAGAGCCTGATTACGATGCATCATTGGACCGAATTTTAAGAGGCGATAAGGTGTCAACATGATTCGTGCAAAGGTGTGCTTTTCGAGAACCGTCTGCCATTCTCGCGATACTGTGGCATAGGGAGCGACGCGGCTGCTTCTCTTTATCAAGGATTCCAAGACCAAAGTCCGGATCTCTGGTGGTAGATTGGTCCAAGTTGCCCTGCTGGCGGTTGACATTGATATCACTTTATCAACAGATGACTGGAGAGTGTTGCCTTTACCGACGACAAGAAGAGGAATGATTCGATAGATATGTAGACAAGTGTGCTGACGGTCGATAGTAAAATGATGATGAGTTTGATAGACGGACGAGAGGGCTAGCTGGAGCGGCTGGGGGTTTTATAAGCTCGTTGCCAAGGTGATGTGTAAAGATGGGTAGGTACGGTAGGTTCTGATTACGAATCGAGGCTCATAAGCACTTTCTTTTGGTAAGGGGCAATGGCTGAAAGAATCATGGAACGAAATGTAAATGTATTTAATCAAGCACATGCCTGCCTAACTTGAAGAATTCCCTGAACCGTAAAGAAGGCGACTACGAAAAGTTGGTTCACTTGGTGTGGAAAGCTTATGGAAATCCCAGCAATCAAATTAAAACTGTTCCTCATTTGACAGATGAGTCGAAATCGCAATCAGGCGGGTGGCTGATAGACGAGGCCATCACGAAGCTACCAAGTTGAATCCCAGGCTGTTATGGATAGGTACCTCGCAGCTTTGAACTGTTTTTGTACACTGGCCTCTGGTCAAGTCAGTACGGGGTTCTTTAGAGGCTCATACGAAAGGCGATATTCAGCATCCAAAGACGGATGTACTACCGCCATATCCATCTACCTTAGCTATAGTAGTAGAGTGACTATCAGCTACCAACATACAGCATCAATCATCTTCACAAGTGTGAGGAGACATAATCCCCATACTCGCACACTCCAGCCCACCCCGTACACGTACACATACACGTACAACAATGGATCACCTGCAATGCACTCCATCAATGCTTCCATTTGCTAGAGCACATGCGAGTTAGTAGATACGAGCCCCCATGTGGACCCGTCCATACCTTACATGCCGTACTTGTACATACGAAGAGAAACCCGCCTCTATAAATATCCTCCCATGCTCCGTGTCGGCTACGCGATATCGCACGGTGCCATTCCCAGGTACAAGATACCAGCTAGCCGCCGAGGGGGAGGCCGTACAGCCAGGTACTCCGTACTCGGTGCGACATGCTCTGGCACCGGGCCTACCAGATCTTGTTCGCCCCTGCGATTCGCCCACTAACCAGCCCGCCCAATCGCACCACAGCACGCTAAAGTCCTCTCTTGCAACCCGACCTCAACCACCAGGCCGTCCAATCATCCCCTAGCCGAGCTTCAATCCTGTCGGCACAGCCTCTCTTGCTCTTGGTCGCTGAATACGGCGCACAAGGCGAACTGCCCGCACCGAGTACCAGCCCTCGCCTGCTCCGTCCCCGGAAGCTTGACGAGGTCCAAGCGGCTTCAAAGGGGTGGCGAGCCGGGTCAACGATAGAGACAAGACAAGACAAGACATCGACTCGACTCGACTCGACTCGACCCTGCTCTCCATCGAGTTCGTTCGCATCGGATCGTGTCGAATCGCCCCAAACCACCTCGACAATGGCGTCGCGAGCAAACGATGGGCCTCTCCGGCCCGACGTGGGCGACGTCTTGATGGTCATTCGTACGTCTTCTCTTCCTACTTCCCCCGCAAGCCAATGCGCCGAGATTCCAACCGCTAATCCTTTTCTTGATGCAGACGACTTTATTGCCCGCAGCTCCGATGAGCTGAGCCTGAAGAAGGGAGACCGAGTCGAGTTGCTAGAACGAGACGACGAGTTCGGCGATGGATGGTTTCTGGGTCGCCACGTCGCGAACAACAACACTGGCCTCTTCCCCGAGGGTGCGTAGCCCTCCCCTTGATGGATGAATCTTTCTGCTAACTGGCTAATTCGCTAGTCTATACCCGACCGAACCCAAGAGCCGTTTCGAACCCAACCTCGACTCCTGCCTTCGTTGCCTCACAGCCGCTGTCACCCTTGGTGGAAGTTACACAAGAAGCATCCCTCCAAGGCACCGCGAATAATCTTGCGTCGGCCAGTACATCTACCGTACCTCTGTCTTCAAGCGCAATGCCGTCTGCTCTGCCAGCGCATTTGGCCAAGGCTGAATCAGCTCCTGTGTCTGGTCTGGGTGGCACAGGATCCCCCGTTTCCGGCCTTGACAGCACCGGACAGGACGAGTTTCTCAATGAGACTTTGAACGTTATCAACGAGCACATTACTCATTTGCAGTCACCGCCAGGCACCAGTCATGGCAACGCTGCCGCCACAGACTCCGGCAGCGAGTATAGCGTCGCGATTGACCACCGAATGTCGTATATCCAAGGAGAAGAAACGGACGAAGAAGAAGAGGCGGTACATAGTCGCGCCGAGGTGGAGGCCTGGTCCCCAGACGACGTGGCCGAATATCTCTTTACCGAGGGCGTGGAGAAGCACCACTGCGAAGTTTTCAGGGACCAGGAAATTTCCGGCGAAGTGTTATTGAGCATGGATCAGAGCTCCCTGTTCATCAAGGATTTCGACCTAGGCTCCGTCGGCCGCCGCCTTAAAACGTGGCAGAAGATTAAGGCTCTCCAAGATGAGGTTAGTGTCGACGAGCCAGATTCAAGGCGCGCCACGCATACGCGCGGCAGCGATGGCGGATCCGAGGACGCGAAACGGACGAGAAGTCGAACGAGCACCCTGACAGGGAACTCAATATCACGACCCACCTCCGTCCAGGCTAGGCGCCTGTCCCTGGCTCAGTCATCTAACAAGGCCTCTCCGGCCGCTCATATGACCCCAACAAATGGCACTCAGGAGAGCCCATCACGTACACATCTCAAGCGGCCGTCGGCAGCGTCCATCCGGGACCTCAACCACTCACGACGACACTCATCCACCGAATTCCGCCTTCCAGGCTCCAATGCAACGGTGCCCAAGGTATCGGCAAACGCGAATCTCTCTGCCGGTGATGGCGTGCATAAGAAACAGCCTTCCTTTGATCGAAACTGGACCCTGGGCGGCGCTGTCTCGCAGACTTCTCAAAGACCGCTCTCCTCCACGGGACTACAAGAAATGCTAGGCGTATCCGAGCAAGATTTGCAGGACTCGGCCGTCGAGCTGGACCGAGGCTACTTTTCCGGCACTGAGGTAGATGGACGGAAGCGCAATGTCTTGCGGAAACGTGATAGCGCTAACTACGGGACTCAGCAGAGCTACGCCGACGAGCAGAGAGTACGTAGCGCAACCGCCCTCTCCCGACACTCCAGATACGGTAGCGTCGATTCTTTCCGGGACGGAGCACCATCTGCCGCTCAGAAATACTACGGCATCCAACCGACTCCCCACAAACGAAACGCCTCCACGAATACGACCGATTCTGTTCGCCCGCCGCCCCCAGCCAAGGATGGACCTGCTCCGGCCGTCACCAAGCTGGATACTGTAGTCAGCCCTACCCAGACGGAATCATCGCCAATCGTCGGCAAGGCCCAGGGCCTCGGCTCCGACTGGCTCTCATCGATGACCAAGCCGGTCGGCAAAGCCACTCGACCAGCAATGCGAGCCATTTCGGATAAGCTTACATTTGAGAGATCCAAGGCTGGGGGCTCGGCTGATCTATCGACCAATGAGCCGCCCTTGCCCTCCCCCGTGCGAACAGGATCCAGCACTGCTTCGGCGGGACAAAGCCTCGATCTCGACTCCCACGAAGGCCTCAAGAGTCCCGTCACGGCAACGGCCCCGAGCAATAAGAAGGGTGGAAAGAAGGGCAAGAAGGAAACGAGCGCCTACACTCAGGGCTTATTGAAAATACCGCCGCAGGTGGCCATGAAGGATGCTGATTACTACGGCTGGATGAAGAAGAAGAGCTCCAATCTGATGACGACATGGAAGCCCCGATTCTTTGTTCTCAAGGGACGCCGACTCGCCTACTACTACTCTGAAGACGACGACCAAGAAAAGGGCCTTATTGACATCTCATTCCACCGCGTGCTGCCGGCCGATAACGAGAGGCTGACCGGCCTACATGCTACATTGACTGGCGCGGCCGGCGGGCCAAGCATGCCAGGCAGTCACAGCAGTCCCGCAGGCGATGATGGCGCAGGCGTGGACAAGGGTGACGATACTATGTTCATCTTCAAATTGGTCCCACCGCGAGCGGGCCTGTCCAAGGGCGTCAGCTTCACCAAGCCGACGGTTCACTACTTTGCTGTGCCAAACCTCAAGCAGGGCCGTCTCTGGATGGCTGCCTTGATGAAGTCGACAATCGAGCGGGATGACACCCAACCCATCACGACCACGTATCAGCAAAAGACAATATCCCTTGCCAAGGCGAAGCAGATGCGCCATCGCCCCCCGGGCTTTGAAGACTCCCAGATGGCGACACAAGACGGTGAAGCGGATGGTGGTGCATCCGGCGCAGACAAGTTGGCGGCGCTCAAGATTGACGGCGCTCGCTTGGACGTCAATTTCGGCGACAAGGACGGGACTTTCTCCCCCTTGAGTGCATAGAGCGCACTACGGCGGAAGAAGACTCGAACCTTCTCGCCCTTGAGCACATAAGAGCACGCGCGTTACGACGGAGGAAGGGCTTTGAAAAAGGAGGGGAATGAAATCTCAAAACGTATCATGAAGGGCGGTTTCGCCAGAAGGAAATATTTTTTTTAAACACTCGGAAATTTGACATGAGAATGGCTTTGACAGCCAAATGAGAAAGACTCCATGATGAGACCTTTGATCACTTATTTTTCTCTCTTGACACTTTAATACTTTTGTTCTGTTTCTCCATCTCCCTTTTTTTTTCTGGGGATGATTGGGGCTGTCTTCTCTGCTTTTTTTCTTTTTCTTTCTCTCTCGACTTATTTTCTTGCTTGAAAGGGGGGAAGCGTGTCTATATATCCATCTATTGATTCTTTCGCTTGTTGTGTTTTTCTCTCTCCCTCTTTCGCATGCGTCAAAACTCGCCCGCCTTCTGGCGAGGAAGAAAAGTCAGCTAATATGAGCTAACTGCTGTTACAATCGCCGGACCAGACTGCTGCAAACATCCATTTCCAACATTGGTTTCTCCTGCTCGATGCCCTTCACCTTTGATGAGAAGGGAGTAGAATGTTGGAAAAGGGGGAATAGTGCGCTTGGGAGGGAGCTTCTTCGCCTGTTTTTTTTTTGTCTTTATTTGTGTGTCTTTTTGCTTCTCCCCCCCCCTTTTTTTTTCACACCTGTTATTTAAATTGGGCGCTGCGTGGAGGGTGTGCAGTGCTGGGCAAGACGAGAGATGGAAGGAGGAGACAAGTAGAGAAGAAGAAACGAAAAAAAAAAAGAAAAAAAAAATTTCAAAAAGCGAGGGAAAGGTTATTTTATATGGGATGAATGAACGCGAAGAGAGGTGTTGTTCCCGGAGCTTTCATCTATGGAAGATTTTGTTTCTCTCTCTTTCTAGTACGCAACACTAATTGATGCGATTCCTTCTGATGTCTCTTTTATTTTATTATTATTAAGAAGGGAGTGGCTACTTGGTTGTGGCAATATTTTTAAAATTGGACTATATATACTGTGGTAGGGAGGGAGGCTATGAAATGTGTTCATGTCTGGGCAGTTATTATTATACGTATATAGATAGGCAGCATCTATAGAGGTATATTTTTTTCATTTACGAGAAATGCTAGAGATACTGGATATGCTAGTGGTGCTAGATAGACTGAGAATCAAGGTAACACGATACCTTCTTCTAATAATCCTTCGTTTCACATAATTGTAATACCTGGGGTGTTGCCCATTATATACACACTGTACCCTGGTGTAAACCAAGAGCAAGATCAACATCACTCACATCAACCTGACACTCACTTCAATCCAAGCCCCAAATGAAGTTACGACTCTCACTCATATTCGTTAATAGAAAGGCGGAGATGGAAAAAAAGAAGAAGAAGACGCTACCATATCATATAGGGGCTTGTATCAAACAAGCCATGGCCCCAGACAAAAAGACGGCAAAAAAAGCTGTATACCCGTGTCAGTCCTTTTCATCTAGTGGCCGAAACGCCCCCCAGCAGTTCATTTTTGTGCCCCCCCGTAAACTCCCACCCCCCCTGCAACAGACAACACAGCCTTTGTACAAAATGATCGACTCATGTCCATTCATCAAAATCCTACATCAATCCTCCCCTAGTCATTAAAACTCCCATGCTCCTCTCAGACACATCTTTGACCCCCTACAAGTTTTCCATGAATCAATCACCTTGTAGCTTTTGGTTCATGCCTTGGAGGAGCTGCCGGATCGATTTCATGAGATGCTGCTCGACTCCTTCAAAGTTGCTCACCGGCTCGCCTTCTGCAGCTTTTGGCATGATGCTCGCATCTGCAAGGCCAATGACACGATCGATGGCGGACAGAGTCACGGCCTCGGCCTTGGCTTCACCTAGGCCGGCCTTGATTGCATTGACAGAGGCATCCTTGAGGCCGTTCAAAGCAGCCAACACTTTATGTTCGAAAACAGGTGGTGTGTCTGTCGGCAACGCGGTGGAACTGCCGGGCGTGGGACTTTTGCCCTTGGTGAAGCCATCGATGACCTGCCGGATTCCCTTGATACAGATGGCTTCCATCTTGTCGTTTTCAGTGGCCGCTTTCTTGAGTCCAATGCACCTGTTCAGTGCTGACATGACGATGGCCTCGGCCTTGGGATTGCCAGCCCTCTTGAGGTTTTCCACCAAGCCGTTCTTGAGGCCGACAACTGCGGTGAGGAGGCGGGGTTCGATAATTGGCCGAGCAGGTGCGGCGGTTGGTGCTCGAGCTGGTGGTGAGTGAGCGGCGGCTTGCGCGGTCATCTGTTGAGATGCCGGTACAGCGCTCGAAACTGCCGCCTTTGATTCAGTGGTGGCCGCCGGAATGATTGTTCGGGGTGGCTGCTGGCCGGGTGCAATAGCAGCGGCCGGTACACCAGCGCCACCGTCCTCGGCTTTAACAGCTGGACTTGCCAATGGAGGAGGCCTTGAGGCATACGGCGAGCTGTATGCTCCAGGCTGAGGCAGTCCCAGCTGGGGGCGAGCCGGGGCTGCCGGCGGACCATATCCTGGCAACTGTATCGGAGCCGGAGGCGGAGCGCCCCCGGCTGGTTGAACTGGTTGGTGTCCAGGGGGTGACTGTGACGCGCCATACTGCACTGGGCGCGCCGCGTGGCTCGGCTGTACAGCATATGCAGGTGCTTGGTATCCCGGAGCTTGCGCTTGGCCTGGGGGATAGCCGGGATGTGTCCCGGGAGCCATGTGCTGTGCGGCATATGGATACGAGTAATGTCCATACGCCTGCGCTGCAGCCAGGCCCCGATCCGGAGAGGTTGCCTTCCTTTTCTTGCCAGCATCCAACTCAACACCAGGTACTCGAGACCACAGATTTGTCGTCTCATCCTTCTTAAACGCTTCGTTCCCAATCAGATTATGGCGAACGCTGCTCTCCCATCCCTTTGTCTCGGTGTGGAAATAAAACCACGGGTATCTTTGGCAAATTCTCTTGTAGATTTGCTTCAATGTGAGACCGTCGGGGCCCGCCGCCGTCAATGTTTCATCGATTAGAACACCATAATTCTTGTTGGGCTTCTGGAGCTGCTCCTCGGTGTAGTCTTCAATCTTGAGCTCCAGGGGCGGCGACTTGGGCCGCGCCTTCTTTTCCTTCTTCTCTCTTGCTCGTCTCTCCGCATCGGAGCCTTCGGCACCGTCCTCATTCTTGGGCTTCCGAGGCTTGTACTTGCGCTTCTCTGGACGGTCGACTCCGTCTTCGGGCAAGGGGTGTTTCCGTGGCCGTCCGACTTTGCGCTTAATAGGCGGCTCGACTGGCGGTGCTTGAGGCAGTGTCTTCTTGGCCATTTCTTGCTGCTGCTTCTTAAGCAAGCGCTGTTCTCTCTTTGACATGATGCCGTTCTTGGGTGGCCTGCCAGGGCCCCTCTTTCTGGGTATCTGCGGCATGGAGAGATCGTTATGAGCTTCTCCTTCGTCTTTGATTTCAGAATCGCCTTCGATGGATGCTTCAGGCACATCTGCATCGCCCTCTTCATCGTCATCATCCCCCTCGTCCTCCTCCTCTTCTTCTTCGTCCTCCTCTCCCTCGTCTTCCGCTCTCTCTTCCTCTCCCTCCTCGTCATCGTCCCCACCAAAGTCGGACAATTCCGCCGGGCTGACATCCACATCTGACAACTCATCGCTCGTATCTTGAATCTGACCGTTGCCGTGTGATTGCTCAAAGTCGAAGCTCATGCTCTTTCCACCGTGAGCATGCCGCTTCTTTTTAGCATCTTCTTCCTGATACTCTTCTGCGCCGGTTCTTCCCCTCTCCACGCCGTTGATAATGAATCTGAAGCCAACATCCTTGATCTGAAGTCGATCTCCGCACTTTAAAACGACCTTTTCGCTCTTGTAATGCACATCCTCGCAGAAAAAGCCGTTCTTATGCAGAGGGATTGCTTCAAACACACCCTCGTCTTGATTGTAGGCAATTTTTAAATGTTCCCGGGATATGGCTTTGGTTTTGCTTGCAATGTTTGGACCGGGAGAATGGATACCAATAAACGGAACATGCCAAGGGGACGGCCTCAATGAGGCCAAGTCGACGGCAGCCGCTCCTGGGGTATGAGAGACGTATTGACGGTTTGATATGACGCCGTCCTGGGGATTTTCGGCTTCGTTTTGCTGTGATGATCCTGTCGTGCTGGTCTTGCGCCGCTTTGCTGGACGCCCGTTTTCTTCGCTATCTGATTCCGGGCCAAGCATGCCACCCTCCTCACTGACATACGATTTACTAAACTTGTGACGATCATGAGCCAGAGGGGATGGTGGCGGAAGCCCCTTGCTGGCGTTGTCCTCGACCCGCCGCTGATACTCATCAGCACGCTTCCCATCGCGCCTGGCTTGTTCCAGAGCTCGCTGGTCACGGCCGATGATGACGGCGTAAGTGGTCATTTGAAAGACACTGTCCGCAAACTCTACACGAGCAAAGGACTCGAGGCCCATGTCGGGGCCAGCCTGCCGTAGGTTATTAGCGGCGCCCGCGCCAAAGTACCCATCTCCCATGAGATTCGGCAGCGTCATCTGAGACGGAGTTACGGTAGGCGGCGGAGACATCGCGGGCGGTGCCGCCGACATGGAGGCCAACGCCATCATCATGTATGCATGGCGATGGTCTATGGCGGCGGCCTGTTGTGTGTAGGACGGTGAAGGCTGAAGTTGCTCTGTCGTAGCCACCTGAGCAGTCTGCACTGTAGGTGTTGGGAGCGGCGCCTCAGCTGCTGGTGCGGTAGCCGCGCTGACAACAGGAGCATCCACCATTGTAACGTCCTCGCTCCCGTTTTCCACCGAAGAGATTTTATCTTTCGGCTCGCCAGAGCCAGTGGTTCCAGAGGTGTTTGGTGTCGGTGTAACGGGTGGCTCCATGCCGCTGTCGGTCTTGGCACCAGCGTCAGCTGGCGGAGGCGGCACCGTCGGAGTCGTCTGTTGATTTGTGTTGGAAGCTGCAGAGGATGATGTTGCTGGAATATCTGCCGATGTAGGCGTCTGCTGTAGGGGCGCAGGCGCAGCAGAAGCGGAATCCGTCGGGGGCGCTGATGACGTCGCTGTTGATGCTGCAGGTGCGGTAGTTGGTGCTGCTGCTGTTGTTGCTGCTGCTGCTGTCGGTGTTGTATCAGCAAGTGATGGTCCGTATCCGCCTTGAAGTCCCGGCTGAGGACCGGACGACGGTGTCTTGTCGCCGGTTGAGGCTTCCATCGTGGACCCGGCCTCCAGCTCAGGCTCCCGTCCAGGCTCTTGCGCCGGCTCTTGCACGGCTCCGGGCAGCGTCGAAGCAGCTCCCGGCCTTGATTCGTCGGACGGTCGCTCAGCAGCAGCAGCTAGCGAAGGCGCCGGAGTCGTGGCAGCTGCTGCTGGGGCTGGAGCATGAGCGTGGGCGTGGGCGGGACTGGCATGGTGATGGCCGTCGAGGCTGAGGGCGCTGGACGAAGTCATCGCTGCTGGCTGGCTGCAACAGCTCCTTCGCCAGGGCTGCGAATCGCTGCGTGTCGACCGAGCGAAGGCCTCTCCGGGCGAGGGCGAGGGGCGTCTTGGGCTGCCGATTTGCTGCTCGTCTCTGCAGGCGGACCACGGCAACGGTCGGTCGAGAGCAGAAGCTGCGATCCTTTTGCAGCCTCTTCTTTGTCTTTGAACTTTCTGGCGCGATTGCCGGGGAGGGTCACAGGCGCGATCCGGCCCGCTGATTGGCCAGGCGGCGAGCCTTTCTGGAGCCTCCTCACCAGTTCCGGCTCGCTCTAGCCGCTAAGAGCAGGCCTGGGAAAAAAAATTAGAGGCCCGGCCCAGCAGAAATCTTTGGGCGTTTGCTAATAAGGCGATTGTCGGTTCCCCGCGTTGATGCGCTCCGTTTCGGCTCGGTTCCTGTTGGGCCGTTTGGCCCTTCTCTTGCCTTGCGTTGTGTGTTTGTTTTGTTTTCTTTTCTTTTTGTTTTCGTTTTCGTTTTCGTTTTCATCTTGTCTCTTTTAGGCAATGAACGCAGGCTGATGACTCATTCTAGCGGTGCCCATTCACGTCCTCGTAGTTTGGGCAAGCTGTATCACCGCGCACCTGCAAGAGTGCCGTATCGTACTGAGGCTCTAGATGTACTTAGTAACTATAGCAGCACCTGATACAGGTATTTCAGGTCATTCTTCAAGATGCATCGTCTATTTTTCTTTTCTCACCCCCTGGCGCAATAAGAATACGAGTCGTAGATGCTAAAGGTGAATGAAAATGCTCATCTCTCTTCCCTCGTAGTATACTAATTCTACTAGTAGGTACTGCTAGTACTATTCGTGAACTTTAGGTACGCAGCTCGTATGCAAAACAATGACGAGGCCCCGATCTAATGCACGGCAAATGTATTTGCTTGCCTAGGTACATGCCCGACCACTTCTCCGAGCTATCCGTTTTAGTGCTGCTGCTTGTACCTGCTTCAGCGGTACCTGTTCTACTCGTTCACCTTTGACATCTAAACAGCCACTTGTACCTCGTTGAACGATAGAGGTCAATTCGCAGTACAAAGGCTCGCATAACAACATTGATGTTATCTTGCAGCTCCATCAGTTCAAAAAGCTTCTCCTCCCTCGCTCCTCAGGAATACGCAGCCAGCCATCCCTCCATTGGTCGGCTATTTTAATCGCGCCGTCTGATTCGCTGTCTCACTCACCTCAGCTGCTAAAAGTGGTTCATGAGCGGCTAATGTAACAGAACTGGCATCACCACGGCCACTCAAAGGGCTCGCTCTGTGCGAGTAACACGAGATGCGTTCTCAGACATGATAGAGTTGGCGCCACGGCCAAGGGGCTGAACGCTGTTGCATGTATGCTTCGTCGATTGCCAACGGCGCGCTGAAACGCCGCAGCACAAAAAGTGAACACAAAGTAAGGCCTCCCGTTTGTACTCGAGGGTAGGCGGCATATCATATATTCGAGGCCATGCCGCCGGTTGGTTTCGTTGCGTCGTATTTTTCTTTCTTTTCGTATTTTTTTTTTGTAGCAGTAGAGGCATCGTCGTTCTTTTTATCAGACAGATTCCTTATCGATCACACCTTCATTTTCTATAAACCCAGTCGAGAGAAAAATATCAAGAGAACAAGATGCCGAGATTCGAGATCCAGATTCATCGCCCCGGTCGATACCCCCGGCCCTTCCATCTCCAGCCCTCCAGCTCTCCAAACTCCAACAACGCCCAAAAGCCGAGCCTCAAGCATGCCAACTCCGAACACTCTCGCTATGTCCAGATGCTCCTCCAGCAGGATGAAATTCCTTTGCTGCACAACATTCTCGCCTCCGTATTCGTCTGGCTCCTGCTGGCAGGATTCCTCGTCTTCCCCGGAACATTCACCAGTCTCCAAAACTCGGTTGCGAATCGGGGCGACCACGACGAGACCTTTTCAGAACAAGCCGCCAAGCTCCTCGTAAAGAGCATCAAGAACATTCCCCTCCTCGTCATCGCCGCCGTCATGTGTGGCGTCTCCGCCGTCGGCATGCTCGTTCTCACCATTCTCCACTCGAAAAACTACGTCTGGATCGTGAACAAGCTGTTCCTGCCGGGCATGACCAACTCCCTGGCTGGATTGGTTTCGACACTCATTGGCGTATACTCTCAACAACACGGCACTTGGAGCATTACAGCCCGCATCACTGCTATTGCTGAGGGAGCTTCGCTTGTGGTCTGCGGCGGGCTTTTCCTCTTTTGCCGGTTGGCTCTCTTGAGCAAGGTCAAAGAAAGCCATGAAGAGCACTACAAAGGCTGGCCAGGACACAGATATTCAAGGCAACTGTTCCAGGATAAGCCGACGTGATATCTGATAAGGATTGACGATGGCAATCTGAAAAGACGTAAAATACTTCGCTGGCGAAGAATGAGATATGAAAATTGGGATGGATGGGAGGAAATAGGAAACTTGGGAGAGGATAGACATTAATCATTAATTAATTACTCAATTTAGACGGCCCTTTCTCAGTCCTTTATATGGCAGCTTCGTCATAGCAATGGTGAACGCTCGCTCGAGATGATAGACTGACGGCTTTTCCAGCTCGTGAACCGTTCCGAGAGTCTGTAAGAGCTGTGGCAAAGCATGCCGGCCAAGAAGCCAACCGCATCATTCCTGAATGCGAGGAGGCCGGCCGTTGTAACCAGCATGACTGTCCATCTTTCGAGGCGCTCTTCATCTGATAGATGCCGATGCTGCCTCAAGCCTGCCTCATGGCCCCCGTGACTAGCAGACACATGCCAGAGATCAGGGGCTCCTTGGTTCAAGGTGTGGCCGACTTTGGCCAACTCCAACCCGGCAGCCACCACCATGACACCGAGCAGGCTCTTTGGATATTGCGTCAACAGATTGACGAGTGTCTTCCCAAACAACAGCCCCAGAAAGATCTTCAACAGCCCCAGCAGGATCACGCTGGCTCCGCTGCGTGCGCCGAAGCGATATTGAGCGGCAAGTCCTCCAGCGCCGTGACAGACTGGCATGGCTCCGAACCACGTGCCGGTGAGGTTCATGAGCGCCACGCTCAGGCCTATGGAGGTGACGGACGGGGTTGGCAGGTCCGGGAGCAGGTCAGCAGCCAACGCACTCACCGCAATGATGGAGTTGAGCGTCGTCAGGGGAAGCTGCCCTATGGCCATCCACAAGGCCGGGGCGTCTCCGCTTCCGACCCATGAGGGAAGCACAAAGTGCGGGTGCCACACATGGAACCACGGCAAGCTCTGATGGGAGACGAGCACCTGGACGAGGGCCAGCACAAGAGCCAGGAGGAAGAAGCTCAAGGCGTAAGGGAAGCGAGGCATGTTCTGCGTAAAAACCAGAACGAGGAATGCCACCAGAGCCCATATGCGGTTATCCAGCACGGGATGGACCCAGTGAAGGGGCTGCAGCAGCGACGAGCCAGCGCCGATGATGAGGGAGAGGCCCGCCCCGAGTTGGATCCCCTTGACCACGGGGATGGGCACGACGGCTACGGCTGTTCGCAGTAAGCCCGTCACGCTCATGAGAAGAACTGCCGCGCCAACCCATTGTCCAGCCGCGACAACGACGCTCATGGACGGATTCTCGCGCGCCGAGATGGCGGCCGCGGCGATGGCCTAGTACCCGCATGAGGCGGGAAGAGGATTAGCAAACAAAGTAAGGCTCCTTGGGCAGATAAGTTGAAGACAGTCGTGTATGTATGTAGGTATGTAAGTATGTAGGCATATGGAGTAGTATCATACAAAGTACCGAGGTCTAAATCTAGGGGGTAAAGACGGGAGTGCTCCACACGGCAAACATATTCGTACGAGTACAGCAAGCTACTGCTAGATAATAAGGTAGTACTTGGACATGGCATACCTTCATGGGCTGCACGGGCAAGGGGATGCCAAAGACAACTCCGGTGAGGACGTTGAAGCCGCCAGTAAAGACGAGCGTCGAGCCCAGGTCGATGTACCCCTTGGCCGCGAGGGCGATCATCAGGGGAAGCAGGGTGCCCAAATCGCCCAGAGAGCCGGATATCTCGGCCAGGGGCGCATCTCGAAATGTCGTCAGGTTATGGGCGTTGAGGCGCCGCACGCGGGCCAGCCAGGCGCTCGCCATGTTCGGGATGACGATGGAGGCGAATTGGAGCTTAGTCGAGCTTTGATGGAGAGGGGGGAAGAATACGGTATTAGGGCGGAATCACGACGACGCAGAAACCATGTATGTACTGAAAGACTCGGCTTCTTTAATGGAAGATATAGATACGCATATTTTTTGTAGGGTATTTTTGGGTGGTTTGTTTGTTTAAAACCATCACAAGAGTTTCTACCGTGGAGAGTTGGTTTGGGCGGCCCTTCAAGAGCGGACCTCACGTGGATGCATTACGTCGGCGGATCGATAGCTGTCTCACTCACGTGGTGCATCTCCGGCACAGCATCACGCATCTCCGCGCTGCTATTGGAGAGGTTTTTTTTCTTTGATGGGTGACACAGAAACAGATGAGCAAAGACGGGTCAAAAATCTACTGGTCCTCTCTGGATGTTGTGTTGTGTTGTGTTCCGGGCTGGGCTGGGCTGGGCCATGTACAGCGGGCATCGACGTCTTCCATGGAGGGGAGCTTTGTCGTCGCAAGGATCATCTTCTTCCGCAGGGCGCCCAACGTAGAGCATCGGAACGGCCCATTAGCTGAAGCTTACTTAACCCAGGCCATCCCTAGGGATTGAAGCTGCCTGGACGAATTCCCGAGCCCTTTTCGCGTCTTCGATGCCGTCGGCTTTGATGCGCTGTACGAGTACGCCTTATTTCTTGAGGTATTATTCCCTGTGCCAAGGCAACCCAGCTGCGTATCATCGGCTGAACAGCGCTCGGGACAAGGTTGAAGCTGACAAGGGCCGCGCGATGAGATCTCGTCACGTGACTCGAAAGACGCACCGCCGTTCGGTTGGGCAACGAAGGAATCCAATGGCAATGCGCATCTCGACGCCGCTGCCGGTGTAGAAGTTATCGTAAAGGGGTCGTGTCTGAACTCGTAGGCCTAGATTCCCGATGATCACGGCTTCTCAAAAGGGAGCAACCGAGAAAGGGGGGGCCAAAATGGCAAAAAGCAATGCTTCTCGTCAGCTTATTAGTACCATTCGCCAAAACCAACAGAGACCAAAAATAAGACGTCCGTTCCGCCTGTCATATCAACGGAAATCCACCGAGAAGCACATCAGGCCCAAAAATCGCTCTCCAGCTGGGCCACCCAAATTATGATTAAACATCAATTGGCCCCGTACGTTTAGGCAGGAGAGCTCATTACCGGAGGAACCGACTGTACCGGATTTGGCGCGCTCCATGGAGAAAAAAAGAACGCAGCAAATGAAACCTCTAACATGTAGGTACTCGTACGGGTACTACTAGTACCAGGTGCTAGCAGCAGCGCGGACGAAGTACCTGCATCAGTTTTCTCCGATGCGCGGATATCGATATCCGGTCTTCTCCACGATACCCGCCCGCGGTGAATGAAAAAAGTCTAGAAGTCGTGGAGAAGGGCTGACCGCCTGGAGTGTGCGTCTCCGAGAGGGAATATTGGCCTATGCCTATTATCTCTCGTTTCTTGGATCCTTTGGGAAGGGGGCGAACTGCGATTAAGGTTGGCTTCTAGAGGTCCATCTGACGGGGTCTGGTTTTGTTATACTACTCGTACTACTACTAGTACATGCAACAACGATGGGAGAGGGACGAGTCTATGCCCGATTTCGACGTGCCAATGGCTCTAGAAGCACGACCTGACTGGTGTTTTCAAGATGAGGCGACCCAATGCGATGGAGAAGGGCAGTTGAAGTCTACGAGCAGTAGCATCAAGTACGGAGCACCGCCGACGTGTGTACGGAGAAGCTGCAGCTCGTACATGTACGGTACAAGCCAACGACGCCGCTACCTTTGTTGCCAAGGCCGGGGTACTCAGAAGCAGCATGAGGTCATTGGCCGAGTGCAGCGCCAGTTCCCCCGTCCTGGACGCGAAAGGGCGACGCCAGCAGACAATCTGGAAGCACACGACACGTCCAATCAGTACGTCCGAGTAGCTGATCATTGCAAGGGGGTGCGTGGGGATCGCTGACTGGGGGGCGAGAGGAATCGGCCGCCGGAATCGCTGTTCGCACCCATTTTTTTTTTGCTTGCCTCGTTTTTTCGTCTTATATTTCCCTCTTACAAGCAAAGAACCCTGAGTCGAGCAAACAAGCCCCCCGAAAGAGAAAGAGTCCGTCCAACTCCCGAGCTTTTGCCGGCCCCGCCGACAGCGAGCTTTGTCCGGAGTCCACGGAGCGGCTTTTATTTTTCAGCCGGGGGCTTTTTCTCTTTTCTGCTTGTCGGGCTTGCCGGGTCGCGACAGCGATGGGTGGAGCAGGCTGCTGCGCTGGATGCGGTGGCCGCAAACAGAAAAGGGCAGACTTTGTTGTCACCTTTGGCGGGAACAGGATTTGCGGCTGCGGCTAGGCTGGGTTTGGGCTGGATAGTGTTGCTCTGCCGTTGCCGCCGCTGGCGGTGTGTGTTGCTTGGGAGTTGGATGCTGAGCGGCGACGGCGACGACGAGGAATGACATGACGCTGATGGATTGGATGGGATGGGCACGACTGGGGCGTCTTGCTATGCCGACTCGGAACGGCAGTGCCCAAGTACATGTTTTGCCTTTGCTGCCGTGACTTGTGTCGACGCCCAATTGCATGACGGGACCCGTGTAGCGGCTCGTTGACACGCGAGGTAGCGTTGCCGTGTACTTCGTATGGCTGACTGACTCTTGTTATCTGCCCTTCACCGGCCGGCGTGATAGTAGGGCCGTTCCTTGCTGGCGATTGTCGGTGCATGGGCATCCGTCCCCATACGTGGGATACCGTTCAGGCAGCTGACAGTATCGGTAAGAGAAGTACGGGAGCAGGTACAACGAAGCACGCATCGTCTGGCTAACTTGGGCAATATAATGAAAAGGGTCTATGGGGTATTATGTACGGATATTGGAGAACCACAAATAATGTCCTTACTACGGAGTAACACAGCATTCTGCATAATGCTTTTCATGGTGTGACAGGTACTTGTAAGTCCTAGCGATGAGAAACAATGGCTACATCCTTAACTAGCCTTTATTAGTTGCGAAGCTAGATCCACGATTTTGAGGGAGAGAAAAAAAGTAGATCCAAGAGAGAGAGAAAAAAAGCAGCGGCATATTTCGGTCAAGGCAGCCGGCGCCGGATGATGTACACGCAAGGAGAAGGGCACAAGTCAGGACGGCGCTACGACGATAGTACCGCAGCTAGGGCATAATTGTCGCCCTCTGATTGAGCGATTGCAGCGATATCCGCTGCAGCCGAAGCCGCGGAGTAGTTGGCTGGAATTCCTTGGAGGAGCTGCCGCTTCCTAGCTAATTGCCAATCGCCGGTTTCCAGAATATCACTCAATCAAGCCACCCACGCATCTTGATACGCGCGCAAGGCCCGGCGTCAGAGAAGTGTGGTGTGTGTGCCCCGTTATCATGGCTGGCCGGGACAAGTTACGGGGTACCAGTACTTGCAGCGAAGCACGGCCGTGTAGCTGTACCTCTTTGTCCAATTATACCGGTATATGCGTCTGTCTGTCCGTCTCTGTCCGGAGAAGCATGACCACATATGAGTACCTTACGAGTACATGCAACGGGACCGCCTCCTGGCTGGTGCGTCACACAGTCACACGGAGGTGAAGACGTCAATGCCGCTGAAGACTTACAAGAGCAGGGGGGTCTTCCCCCATTGGCCATTGCCTCTTCGTGGTCCGTGAACCGGTGCAGGCGAAAAAGAATACAAAGTAGAAATACATTCAAATGGCTCTCACGGAGATGTCGACTTTCGGTCGGGGGGGTATCGAAAAGAGTGCACGGTACTCGTGCTTAGCTTTTACAGGGACAAGACGCCGGCGCGATGCAAAATTCGCGCAGGCGAAAAAAAAAAAAAGAGACTCGAGCCCACTGCAACTTGGCTCTGGCCGCCGTCCCAGTTCCCCACATGGGGCGCCCGGGTAACCTGGGCGAAAAGGCTGGGAGAGGGAATAACGAGTAACGAGTGAGAAGCGGAAAGGGCTAAGAGCAAAAAGGTAACACGAGTAGAACTAGTACTAATACTAGAGGGGAAAAAAAGAAGAATAAGAAAAAAAAAAAAAAACGAGAGGACTGGCAAAAGCCTCGAAAGGAAAAAAAACCTTGGCGACCAAGAACCGCCGCACGTACCGGCCGAGACGCTAAAGCGGCCAGGGTCCAGCGCATGCCGTGTTCCGATCACCAGAAAAACTACGGAGCAAAAAAGAAGAGAGAAGCTGGAGCGTACCTGTACACGTACCCGTGCTCGTCCCTGTACTCGTGCCTGTACAAGCCCGTTCGCGCACAGCTCGCCGCGGGAAGCGAGTACCGCCCTTTTCGTCGCTGACCTCGCAGCAACATCCGGCCGTTCAAACTGGAAATGTCGCGATGCGCCTCTGGCCGGGCTCTATGCCGTCCGTGGCCCCAATTGACACACGCCCCCCGGCCCAGCCCGGAATCCTTTTTCTGCCTCGATTTTCCCGCTTGATTTTTCTTCCCTTGTTGCTCTCGGTTTTCTTGATTCTTCTTCTTCTCTTCCCTTCCAACCCTCTCGTCGCCCTTGGTTCGTCTTGTTCCGTCTCAGCAAAATCCCCCCCAGCCGCCGCTTTCGCCAATCGTCAAATCGACCGTCCGGCTATAAACCCCAGTCTTTGCTGCCAACTCGCCAATCCCCCATCAACAACAAGGACAAAAAAAGGTCAGAGCGCTCGCCAAGTTTTCAATCCCCTACAGCACAATACCTACAACGTACAGCACCCGTACTGTACCCATACCCCAATTGCAAATCACAATCCCAATCCCAGTCTCAGTCCCAGTCCTAGTCCCTGGCCCTCGGCTTCTCTTCTTTCGCCTCGCCTCGCCATCTTTTTTTTTTCCCTCCCCCCAAATTCCCCAAATCGCCCAGCGCGTGGTCCGTGACGTGCGGCCCCCACTTTTTGCCCCTACCGGCTGTGCCTTCCCAGAGCTGCCGTGAAACAAAACCTCAGCGCAATCCACTTACGCGACCTTTTCCAGACTTTTTGCCTTCATCCTCTCTCTTCCTCAACGCCTTCAACCCAAGAGGTAAACTCGCTCCCAATTCGCTTCCCTCCCTCAATCCGATATCACAATTGCACTCTACACAATCAATTCGCGAAATGCGCTCGAACGTTGCTGTTTTTTCCCCTTTGGTGTCGGTTGGATCCCACGTTGTCGCTGAGCACGGGCGCTGTCTCAGCTGTCGCAAATTTTAAGCTTCATCCGGGGCTACCGCAGCCTGTGAAACCAGCCAATCGGGCGAAGCTTAAAATCGTCGCATCTGGGCTCGCCCTCGCTGTGTGATTCTCTACTGGGATTCAATGGCTTCAATTGAAGAACCGCGTATTTTCTTTTCTTTTGAGGCATTTGATGTGGTTTCCACAATACCCTCCCCCCCTGCGCATTTACCGCTTTCTCTCTCACACCCCCTGGCACCATTGCCCCGGATAACAACTCGTTCATCAATTGAGACACACATATATATAATGGCACCGAGACCACCCTGAGACTAACTTTGCTTCTTCTCTTCAGACATACCCAAACTCTCCGCTCAAGACACAATGGCCGCCATCAACAAGCAACTCATTGCCACTCGCGCCGTGAGCGAGCTGGTCAAGCGCAAGAACTGGGCCGCCAGAGAGCCCGGTGTCATTGTCGTCTTCTGCATCGTCTTCATCGGTAAGTCCATCTCTACAACAACCTATTCCAGCAAAACAAAGCGAGGACATCCTTTCTAACATGGCTTGCAGTCGCTGTTGGTCTCATTGGTCTGTTCATCCACAAGCAGTGCGCCAAGAGACGGGCATCCAAGTCTCAGATCTAGGCGACGACCTGAGGCTTGGGGAAGAGGGGGTTGGGATTACGGGGGATGACTTCATGAATGAACGGGAGAGGGGACGCAGTAATGGACCGTGATTGTTAAAACGGCGAAATGGTGTTGCGCGACATTTCAAGCGTGGTTATAAACAGCGACACGTCGCGTCACGCAGCCGGTCAAAGGATAATGTTTTCACTCTGGCCACGAGCCAACACCGACCAGTCGTCATCTTGTCGTCAAGCTTGTCAACAACTTTGATGCGCGATGGATTTTCTTGGAGCTCGCATGGCCATGTACATGTACGCATGCATACATACTTGCTCGCGTCGCGCACACTCTCACTCATTCACTCACCGCCGCTCGATGGCTTGTGTGAGTAGAGAGAGAAAGAGAGAGAGAGGGCTATTGGTGTCGGAGATTTATGGAAAGGCGCGCTCGTGCTCGTGGCCACAGGATGCTATGTTCTCTATATTCTAATACTCCTGATACCTCATACAACAATCTAGTATTATAAACAATTTATATAAAGCTTTTCCTACTGTTCAAACAACTCCGATCCCGTCTGCCTCCCATCTTTTAGTGAATCGCTCCCTGTCTTAGACTGATGCTAATCTTACACACATACACGTATCAATACACAATCTCGTCACAGTCCTTCCTTGGCCAACATGTCGGCCACGTCCAGGTAAAACGCCACGGCATTAAACGTCCTCCTCATGCCCATCCACTCCCTCACCGTCCACCTCGCGCGATTCGACCAATTGATCAGATCCAAATGGCTAACCCCCATCAGCGTCCCCTTGTACACCCCCCAGCGACTGCTCTCAACACTCACCAGCCCGTCATTCTCCCCCTCCCTCTTGTCCACGACGCCGTGCGGCAGCCGAAACGCCCCCAGCAGCGACGGCTCGTCAATGGCCGCGCCGTACGAAAAGTAGCGCACCGCCTCGTCGTCGCGCACCCGCGGGTTGAACTCGTCTCGCATGTACCGCGTCGTCAGCTGGCCAAACGCAGACGTGCCCAGGCCGGCGCGCCTAATCACCCCGTACAGCCGCGGCAGGTGGAGCGGCCCGGCGCCGCGCTCGACCAAGTAGTCCGCAAAGGCGCTCCCGCGGTGCGGCGTGGCAATCGTCACGAGCGACGCGATCCGGATGCCCGACGGGCGCAGCAGGGAGATCATGTACCGGGCGTCCAGGCCTCCCATGCTGTGGGCGATGATGTTGACGGCGGGCGGCGTCGTCGTCGTCGCATGGCCGTCTGCGCTGGGGAGCGAGGCGGCGGTTGTTGTTGTCTGCGCGAGGATGTCGGCGGCGAGCTTGGCGGCGCGCTCCTCGATGGAGCCCGAGGGCGGGACGGTGGCGGTGATGACGGTGCAGTTGTTTGCCGTGAGGGCCTGCTTGATGCCGTGCCAGTACTCGATGGGGGGGAGGAGTGGCGAGACTCTGAGCTCGGAGAAGCCGAATAGGCCGTGAGCCAGGACAATGGGGTACTTTGGCGTAGCTGAAGTGTTTTTCTTTTCGTTAGACAAAAAGCTCCTCCGTTAGAAAAGAAAAGATGAAACACGTACCGTAGGTCTCGCGGATAGTAGCGTAGTCATCGTGTATAAGTCGCCCGAGGTCACGGATGCGAGGATCATGACGGAGCGGTTTTGCGGTGCCAAAGGCCCGCGACGGCGATGGCTGTAGGCTCAGCACGGAGGGCGGGAGGCGAGTGCCACGCCAATGGGGCCATTGCTTCATGGCTTTGCGAGATTTTGGCTACAGCATCAGGTAGGTCCTCTTGTTTAGGCAGAAAATTAAGGTGAGGTGATGTTGAAGCAACAACTTGATGCTCTCTGTGAGCTTAGCAAGAAGTGCTGGTTAGTGTAGGATGCTTTGCTGACGTCACTGCAGCGACGGAGCTTTGATATCAGCGTCACAAAACACACACTTTGACGGCTTAATTGCTTCCATTGCACATACAGCTCTATTCAGTGTAAAATTACATGCTTGCTCATTATTCAATATTATCTATATGTATATAGAACAGTAGTTTGTGCGAGTTAGAATCCTCCCATCTATTTTACCCATTTCCTTTGGTATCTATCACCTTTTTTCCCTCCCCCAACGCGACAACAGAACAGACGATAAAGGCCAGAAAACTAGCTCTTTTCTGGCATCTGACTGGGCGCATTCTCGTTCGTTACGCCGCTATAAGCTGGTCGGGGCCGTAAGCCGTCAAACGGCCCTGATAAGTTCTCTGCCATGGCTTCATCGTAGCTTGGTGGTGGGACGTCCTCGTAAGCAGGAATGTCGCCAGGGGGTAGCTGTGGGGGGTACAGAGGATCTTGAGGAGGTCTTGGAGGCATGGCTGGCTGGCTCGGTTGATTCGCCTGACTTGGCCGTCGCTGAGGCCTGGAAGCAGCGTTCGAGTTGTTGGTATCGGTGGCAGAAGGTCGGGAAGGTAGACGAGGAGGCCGAGACATGGTGATTTCACCTGGTCGTGTATTTCGAGCAGCTTTCAGAAGCTCAGGAGGTGGTGAAATGCCAGAAAAGACATCAATGTTTGCGAAATGAAGAGGCAGATAGATGGTCTGGGGCTGCGCAAAGGGGTCCCTCGTCATGGAGCCCGCCTTTGGGTCGCCCCAGCTCACACCTAGCTTGAGTTCTATTTCATATCTTCGAGTAAGGTTGCAAGTGTTGAAGGAGGGGGCAACGGTGTTTGGAAGCGGCCTGTTTCTCCAGAGCTCGTCTGGGAGCGTTACTTCTTTGCCGACTTCATCTCCCGGAGCACATACTGGGATGTGGAGGTCTGTAAAGGAGGCGACAACCCAGCGGTTGACTTTTTGGTTGAACAGCCCATGCGCACGGATTTCCGTCACACCAATCAGGTCCATCTGGAACGATACCAGGTAGATTTGTTCACTGCTTTCTACGAGCTTCTTTGCGATGAGCCGGAGTGGGACAGGCTTATTGCACGTGAGAACTGATGGATGCGGCACCCGAGCTGAAATCTCTACTGATGGTGGCGTTGGAGAATCACCGTCAGCACCGGCCAGAGCTTCATTGGCCTTTTTGCTGCTGAATAATGAACTTCGTTTCTTTTGTCCCTTTGCCCTAGGCGTAAAAGAAAAGGGCCGTCGGGCAAAAGCTTCCTGGCCAGTGATGGGAGGTCGCGGCGGTTCAATGGGCAGAAATTTGAACCCAATGTGATAGCGCCAGTTTTCCTTGAGCAGCCCTGGTCGCTGAATCGTGACCTTGATGTAGTACCGGATTTCTGCTTGCATAGGAAAGCCTGTTAGGGAGGGAGGAAGAGTCGCGGTAACGTGCCGTAGAAACAGCTGCTTCGAACCGTCCATGACACGGACTCCGCCCAGCCCAAAGAGGCCGCCGCCTGATCCATAGCCTCCAACACCGCCCAGGCCACCAATCCTGGCCATGGCTTCGGGATTGCTGCAGGCATTGTTGATGGGTAGCTTGAACGTGAAGGGAAACTGGTGCTGGCCGGGATCGAGGGGATATGCTCCATACGGACTGGATGAGCTTTCGTAGTACTCGTCTGGGAACACCTTTACTAGTTTGTAGAGGATCTTGTGGTTTTCACCCACGATGCTGCCCGGAGGCCCCGGTGGCGGGCCATTCCGATTAACGCCCGGTTCGTAGCCGTAATTTCTTGGGACCTGTAGAGCTGTGCCGGACTCTCCTTCGAGTTTGACGACAATGCTGCCGATCTGCTCGCTCTTTGGCAAAGTCAAAAAGACCTTGCCTGAGATGACGTCGAGGTTGGTGTAGAACTCGGGCTGGTTATTCAGCACGATTTTGATGGACATGGTTAACGACTGGCTGCTCCCGCAGTGGTGAATGTCCTGCGGGAGAAAGGGAGGGAGAAATGAAAGAAGGAGGAAAATACAAGAAGGAAAAAACGAAAGGAGAGGAAAACAAAGAAGAAAAAATAGCTTTGTTTGTTAGGTCTCCGCAGTTGGGGATGGGGATGCAAAGGGTTTTTGACCCCTTGGCAGCAGCACGCTCGGCAATTGAACAGGCCAGGGCCAAGTCCGGCACGCTGGCATTGCTTGCGAGGCTGCGGATCGGGATTGAGACGAGCCCAGGTTGAATGAGACACAAACACGGAGAGAGCTGAAGGCGAGCACACGCGTCAAGTCATTTGGCGATGGGGGCGCAGCCTCGAACCTCGTGGGAGTGGAATTGGACGAGGTTCGGCGATTGGATTGATGTCATTGCCAATCTGCCGCCTAAGCTGCAACTGGGCTTATCCACCGCCTGAGTGTGGCTTGCCGCGAGGCGCTGACGAAGTTGCTGAGGCGCAAAGCCCGCCGGATCCGACACTAATCGAGTGTCAGAAGTTGCGTTGCTTTGGGCGTTGATTGGGCGACTTTTGGTAACATGGTTTGACATAGATTATGGATGAGATAATCCTCAATATAGTAACTTCTTCTACTATCTCATAGATGGAGTACATGTCTAGTGGGCTGGCATTGTTGATGTCAGATGGAGATGCTGGAGGCTGGATGCTGGATCAGGTACCCGCACAACGTTGAAGCCGGTGACCTTGAGCTGAGAATGGCCGCTACTCTAGCAGTTAAAACCCACTAAATAGCAGCCCTGGAGGCCATAGCTTCACCCAGCTTCATGTTACTTTGGCCACGATAAAGACCATTTTGATCTTCGCTATGCACCCCGTCCTTCACCCGGAACGGACTGTCCGATGGCCCATTGGTTTGCCTCTCTCTCCACTCTGCGCATCACTAGCATTAATCGGCAGCCAGGTGAATGACCGGGGGGGGCAGCTGGCCCTCGTTGCAGTTGCATTGAGGCTGGACTCGCTGCAACACCACACTGCCTCTCCTCGTCGTCTGACGCTTGCCCTTAATCTTCGTCTTCTCTCCCTTCAGGCCCTGCAAGATGGCGTCTAAACCTAGGTCATGGATACTCCATGGCTACTGCTTTCACTACACATGCAGTATCTCTGATCTTTGTGGCAAATAATCACTACTAACATCACGCATCGTCCGCTTTGCTAGTGCCACTCGGGACCAAAAAGCCAGGGGTCAAGCGGTTGCGGTTGTTGGTTCCAACACTCGAGCTGCATATTTCACCTCGGCCGTGGCGCCATTTTCAGAGCCCAGATTCTCCAACAGCCTACATATACCTTGGCGCAAAGTCACGGGCCGTCGAAGCCCCTCGTTCGTGTGCTGCGGATCCGGTGTTGGTTGTCGCCTGTTTCTCGTTGCAACGTCCTGACAAGTGCTGTTATACCAGGCCATGGATTGTTGATTCGACGGCGGGCTGTGCCTCGGAAAAGTTGATGGGGGGGGGGGGGGGGGGGGGGGCTCTTCTTAAAGTCTTAACTGATTTTTGATTT